TGGATTATTCGACTGAACTAACTGACTGATTTTATCGACTGGACGAGGCCACATGAAAATGTCAAATACCTCATCCCCCCCGCCCCACCCCATCCCCTTTCTTCGTTCATATCATATATAGGGACTCTATTCTTTTCGAGGCGGACAAGGACAGCTGTCTAGTCGTTCGGATGGGACGAAAAACCGAGGTCCCGTGTATACATTGGAGTGGACGTAAAAGATCCCTTTGACAGATGGAATTCGATATAAGAGTAGGCCGTAGTGCCGCTGTCCGGGCAAAATTTCCCTCATCGCACAGTGTATGGCGTCTGCCCGTCTTCATTAGCCCAGTTCCAAGCAGAACAGAAAGGCGTTAAACCCCATTTCATTTCTTTTCATTTCTTGAAAATAGTTGGGAAGCCCCCCGGTCCCTACCCCATGCCTCCGGCTCCTTCAGCTATGGCTACGAGCATGATTTGCTACTATATTATCTTAGCCCGCTGCCACCGCTGCTTAATATTGAGCGACTTGTTTATTCGACTGAATTATTCGACTGAACTATTCGACTGGTTTATTCGACTGAACTTTTCGACTGGTTTATTCGACTGGATTATTCGACTGAACTAACTAACTGGTTTTATCGACTGGACGAGGCCACATGAAAATATCAAATACCTCATCCCCCCCCACCCCCGCCCCACCCCATCCCCTTTCTTCGTTTATATCATATATAGGGACTCTATTCTTTTCGAGGCGGACAAGGACAGCTGTCTAGTCTTTCGGATGGGACGAAAAACCGAGGTCCCGTGTATACATTGGAGTGGATGTAAAAGATCCCTTTGACAGATGGAATTCGATATAAGAGTAGGCCGTAGTGCCGCTGTCCGGGCAAAATTTCCCTCATCGCACAGTGTATGGCGTCTGCCCGTATTCATTAGCCCAGTTCCAAGCAGAACAGTAGGACGTTAAAACCCCATTTCATTTCTTTTCATTTCTTGAAACTAGTTGGGAAGCCCCCCGGTCCCTACCCCATGCCCCCGGCTCCTTCAGCTATGGCTACGAGCATGATTTGCTACTATATTATCTTAGCCCGCTGCCACCGCTGCTTAATATTGAGCGACTTGTTTATTCGACTGAATTATTCGACTGGATTATTCGACTGAATTATTCGACTGAACTATTCGACTGGTTTATTCGACTGAACTTTTCGACTGAATTATTCGACTGGTTTATTCGACTGGATTATTCGACTGAACTAACTGACTGGTTTTATCGACTGGACGAGGCCACATGAAAATGTCAAATACCTCACCCCCCCCCCCACCCCCGCCCCACCCCATCCCCTTTCTTCGTTCATATCATATGATATTAACTTAGTATGTTCAAAATTTTATGAAATTTTAAACAGCTATATTACATTGTGCATACCAAAGAAATCAATAACTATAAGACTAACTGACAAACCGTGGTTCAATACAGAAATACGTAGAGCGATAAGAATCAGAAACAGGTTACACAAAAAAGCTTTGAAAACACAACATGAATGCGATTTAAGAAAATACAAAGTTCAAAGAAATAAAGTAAATAATTTTAAAAAAGCGTTAAAAACAAAATACAAAGAAGAAATCACAAATTTCTTGAATTCTAACGATACAAATAGCCAGAATTACTGGAATAATTTAAGGAAAGTATTAGGCCAAAATGTATCAAATGATATTCCTCCACTTTTAGACCCCAATGGAAGAATTGCTCATTCAAATTTTGATAAAGCTGAATTACTTAACAACTATTTCGGATCAATTTCAAATAACACTCAGCAAGGAGAATTACCAAAATTCAATAAGCGAACAAATTGTCAACTTGATATTCCTTTAGTCGAAGAAAAGGAAATCGCAGATCTTATAAGTACACTGAAATTGAAAAAAGCCAATGGATTTGATAATATTAGTAACAAGTTACTAAAATATACCAAAACCTCAATATGTGTACCATTAAAATATATATTTAACAAATCACTAGAATCAGGCGTTTTTCCAACAATTTGGAAAAAAGCAAATGTCCTACCTTTCTATAAAAAAGGAGACAGCTCTCTAGTTTCAAACTACCGACCTATAAGCCTATTAAGTTCTTTGAGCAAATTATTAGAAAAGGTAGTTTTCAAACACCTGTTTAACTATTTTCATGAAAACAATCTCTTGTACAAATACCAATCAGGGTTTCGACCGAACTACTCTACTGTTCATCAACTTTTAGAAGTGTATCATGATATCTCATCTGCAATAGATAAGCAACTATATTCCTGCTATGTTTTTTGCGATATATCTAAAGCGTTTGACCGCGTATATTTACCTGGTTTGATTCACAAATTAAGTCAATATGGGGTTTCAGGCATGCTAATTACGTGGTTGTCTAGTTATGTCCAAGACCGGACTCAACGGGTATTCGTAAATGGCTCTGTGTCATCAGAAATTACTCTTCAATCAGGAGTTCCCCAGGGATCAGTTTTGGGCCCCTTTTTGTTTTTGACTTACATCAATGATGTACAAGATGTACTCCATAATGTGGCTAGATTATTTGCAGACGACACGGCACTTGGGTGTAGCAAACAGTCAGTTTCAGAGATAGAACAGTCCCTAAACTACGATCTGACGAATCTCAACATTTGGGCGAATAATTGGCTTATAAACTTTAATCCAAACAAAACAAAAGCTATTTTATTTAGCTCCAAAAAAACAGAAAATTATCCGAGTCTGATATTCGATAATCAAGCACTTGAAGTGGTTAAATGTCACAAACACTTGGGCATTACCCTTTCAAATGACGCCAAATGGACCATCCATATAGAAACTATTATCTCGTCCACCTCAAAATTATTAAATATTTTGCGTAAACTAAAATTCACCTTTAATAGACAAACTCTAAATAACGTATATTTGATATTCATAAGGCCAAAATTGGAATACGCATGTGAAGTGTGGGATGGGTGTAACGTTTCCAATACCGAAAAACTTGAAAAGGTACAGCTAGAAGCTGCCAGGATTGTGACTGGACTAACTAAAACTTGTTCTCGTGAAGCGCTTTATTTTGAAACCGGATGGAATAAATTGTCAGACAGACGTACACAAAAGCGACTAACCACATTTTTTCAAATTAAAAATCAGAGAAACCCAGCATACTTATATGACATTCTAGAATATTATCAACAAACACCACAAAAATACAATTTAAGAAACATTAGCGAATATAGATATCCTTATTGTAGAACAGCATTACACCAAACTTCGTACTTCCCCACAACAATTCGAGATTGGGAATTATTAGAGGACCCCATAAAGCAATCAACCACTCTTAAATCCTTCAAATATCTATACAAACAAAAATTACGTTCCTTAATACATAAAGCGCCAATCTACTACTGTAAAGGTAATAGACATGAAAATATTATTCACACTAGAATACGGCATGGGTGTAGTTCGTTGCAAAATGATTTGTATGAAATAAACGTTGTGAATGATCCCACATGTTCTTGTGGCAAATTTATAGAAAATGCCGAACACTATTTCCTGCAATGTCACTTATATGATGTAATTCGTGCTGAACTATTAAATACATTGTCAAGTTATTCTGTGATAAATATAGATATCCTATTGTGCGGCAATTCAGAATTGTCAATTGAGATGAATACAAACCTTTTCCTTGAAGTTCACAAATATATCAAACTTTCAAAACGATTTAAATTTAAATAAAAGTTATTGTTAGTAGTTACATCTTAGAATAAATTATTAGCTTTAGCTTTTTTGGTGGATAACTTTTTTTTTTTTTTTTTTTTTTTTTTTTTTTTCCCGCACCCCCCACCCCCCATTTTTTTTTATTTTTTATTATTATTTCTTTTTATCATTTTATACATGCATCAGTTCATTTATATCCCATTTATTAAACTTTATTTTTCAATGTTTTAAATATAATTTTATATTCTCTTTATCACCTCTTCACTTATTTTATATAGAGCTTTGAGATATAATTCATCTGACTTTACTTATATTACTTATAAATTATTTATTATTGTATATACTATTTCGAAATCTTGTTAGTATTAAATAATGTCTATCATTTCTATGTATGGAAAGGGCTTTTCTAAGTTTTTGAAACTTGTGCTCAATCCTTTTGATATTTGTCAATAAAATATGTTTAAACTAGTAGGCCGTAGTGCCGCTGTCCGGGCAAAATTTCCCTCATCGCACAGTGTATGGCGTATGCCCGTCTTCATTAGCCCAGTTCCAAGCAGAACAGTAGGACGTTAAAACCCCATTTCATTTCTTTTCATTTCTTGAAACTAGTTGGGAAGCCCCCCGGTCTCTACCCCATGCCCCGGCTCCTTCAGCTATGTCTAAGAGCATGATTTGCTACCATATCATCTTAGCCCACTGCCACCGCTGCTTAATATTGAGCGACTTGTTTATTCGACTGAATTATTCGACTGAACTATTCGACTGGTTTATTCGACTGAACTTTTCGACTCAATTATTCGACTGGTTTATTCGACTGGATTATTCGACTGAACTAACTGACTGATTTTATCGACTGGACGAGGCCACATGATAATGTCAAATACCTCATCCCCATCGCCCCCCTAACCCAACATATCATATATAGGGACTCTATTCTTTTGGAGGTGGACAAGGACAGATGTCTAGTCGTTCGGATGGGACGAAAAACCGAGGTCCCGTGTACACATTGGCGTGCACTTAAAAGATGGGGGCATATGGGGATGAGGGAAAAAGTCAAGCATGACTTTATTAAGCCGCGGTGGCAATAACTAAGATAACACCTTAAAGTTTTAATTTGAACAATCAAATTTGAACATGAGGGGACGTAAAAAATAAACAAAAACAATGATAAAAGATATTGGAATTAGTGCGTTTTTTCTTTAACTTATACAGATTACAAACGATTCCAAAATTTTAATAAGCCATCGACCGGTTTATTCGACTGACTATTTGTTTTGGACTTAGGGTCGACTCGGATTCTCGAGTTAATGTCATATGAAACAGACAGTGAATGATCAAACCTTTTTATGAATTGTGTGAGTAAACTTAGATTTTAAATATAAGGCCTAGTAAAATCACATTTTCTTTAAATTTAACCTCTCTTTTGTTTTACTTTATGTATTGTATATAAATAATCTTCAACAGATGCACGGGGGGTTGCCGATTTGAGGAATCATCTCACTAGTGTGTGTCTATCTCAGTATCTGTGGGTCACGAGGTCAATATCATTTTTTTGTTGTTATTAATCATCGCCTATCGCCATAGTCAGACGGTAAACTGCGACAAAGCTTTGCATGGTTGATACTTCTAAATTGAAAAATGATATAGATCCATTTGTGTTTTCAAATTGTAATAAAAGGTGTTAAATTAAATGAGAAAGTCTAGTTTTTAGATATAAACATAGATAAATTTAGTCAACGGCTTCAGCAAAAGGTTCGATAACTCAGATAAGAAGAGAGAGATGGGGTTTAACCTCCACTCAACACAAACTAGGTCATTTCGGGACTAACACATGGTTCAATTTTATTTCAATCATTCACTTGTGCGTAGGGGTCTTTAGCAGTGGGAGGGGGGAAACCCACAATTGGACAGGTGACCCTACTCCTTCTTGTCATGTATAACAAGGGAATCGAAACCAGGCCAGTGGTCTCAATGGACCTTGTGATCTGATACAACAGATAAGATCACATTCATCATGTCATGGAACAATTCTAAAATATTCATCTAGAATTGTCTCAGTTGCTCCATTCTCCATATAACAATTTAAGTCACTAATAATTAAAAGAGAACTCATAGATATAATTCAATCTACAAAAAACATTATTTGAAACAGGGAGCACTGGTGGTTTGGTGAGTAAGACCACTGGATCACAACAGGTCCCAGGTTCGATCTCGTTTTTGGCTGTTCAGCATTTTCCAGGGTGATTTCTCTTTGTCAGTGGTGCAGGATGGAGGGCCTGGCAAGGAACAGTATGTGGTCATTCGAATCTAGGATAGAAAACCAAGGTCCTTCAAACATGTTGGCATGCACATAAAAGAAGTTAAAGGACCCTTGACAGTTTACAAAATTACCCTCAAACTGCATAGTGTAGTTTATGCCTGCCTTCTTTAGTGTTGGAATCAGAAAAGTTGGACTTTTAACCCCAATTCATTTTGTATGATAAACAGAATGCTGGTGCATTATCCACAGATGTATTCCAGTCTTTTACTGTACATAGACAGAGGACATTAACTGTTTGTAGCATTGTAGAAGAAGTGGACAAGGATATTGATACCACAGTCACGACTAAACTCCAGTTGTTTAACTTGAAAATCAAGTCCATTGTACTTTAGGTAAACCAAGGGCGCTGATCACAAACTACAGGTGTTTGTGAACACTTGTCTCAGAAGGATCCTGTATGGGTCAGATTGCCAGATCATATTTCAAACCAGAAACTAAGAAAGAACAAACAAGTAAACCAAAGATGAATCCATTAAATTGGACATACGTTGTGCTGCTCACATTCAATCTGGCATTAGAGTGGAACCCACAATGCAGGCGATCGAAAGCATGGGCATCCAGTGATGCCATGGAGAAAAAACTTGGACTAAATCTATTAGTTGATCTCATTGGAATAAGCAAAGAAAATAACTTTGGACTGTTATTAGTGGTAATCTAATGTCAATGTCCAATGTTCTATTGGGAATGTAAACAACTAAAGAGGAACCAGAAACTTTGTGCATGATAGAACAATTGCGGTTGTTTTGACTATCACAAAAATAAGAATAATACAGAAGAACCAGTCTGTATTGTTTATAAGGGAAGTTTTACAATAAGAAGTGTTGCAGGTTACAATTTAGGTGGAGGTCTGGTGTTGAGGGTACTACTTCATTAATTATATGGTGGGTAAAAGTGTGGTTCTGTATAGCCTACAATTTAGATGTGAGGCAGGGGAAATAAATATAATATATATATAATATGATTAGATTTTAAAAAAAAACTCCTGACTGCTTAGTGCTTATTAGGTTATGCATTTCTGAAAGTCTTATAATGTAAGTACCAAGTTACTGAGGCTGTCTTCTTGACAATGCAATATTTCGATCAGATTCAGACTAGCACATGATTATTTATTACTATGTTTACGTTTTCAATACTATAGAGAGTTTTTGTATTACATGCCTGACAAGGACAGCTGTCTAGTCCTTCGGATGAGACGAAAAACCGAGGTCCCGTGTAAACATTGGAATGCACGTAAAAGATCCCTTGGCAGTTGGAATTCGATATAAGAGTAGGCGATAGTGCCGAAAATTTCCCTCATAGCACACTGTATGGCGTATGCCCGTCTTCATTAGCCCAGTATAGGAGCAGAACAGTAGGACGTTAAACCCCATTTCATTTCATTTCATTGTGTTACATGCATCTGTAAAAATATATATATACATTGCGTCACCCTTGTCCGTCCATATGATTACCTATATTGTTGACACCATAAAGGCTGCAATAAGCCATATATCTTTTTGAACAAGATATTTGGTTGTCTATCTCATTGAAATAACAGAGCCTTTTGGTTTTCAACATTTTCAATAATCCTGTATGGTCGTCTTCAATAGTTTAGTTTTTGACATGTTTCAATAATCACCACCCTTTGTTATGAAATTTTGTTAGCACCGAATAGGCTGCAATTCTTAATTAAATTTTTATCCAATTAAAAGAAATCCTATGCTTTTTCAATTATGAATTCTAGAGATATGTCCCATTTTTATCGCTGATTTGCAGGACAATCGCTGAGTCATCAGATGGGACAGAAAACTGTTCATTGTATGCAATTGACAGCACATTAATGATCTATCGAATTAATATTAGGTCATAGTGCCACTGTCAGTGCAAGTTTTATGATACTTCAGTGTACTCACAAAATACTTTATTTACAAACATATAATTTTCAGTAAATGATCAAGACTTATCAACATCAGTAGCCAACCCAGGTCCCTAATACACTATATCTCGATAAATGAGGTTGGGCCCGCCCCCTCGGCAGCAGATAGCCAGCCAAATAACAGAACAAAATCAGGATCTCAACTGTAAACTGATGTCGATGAGTGGAGAAACCAAGAGCTAATATTGAATTGTTATTGAGGTAGAAACTACTTCAGGAGTGTATAGAGTTTGCTTTTCTTGAACACCCATTAACATACTAAGTGCAGGAGGACTGCACTACACACAAAACAAAACCAACAAGACACACCTCTGGACAATACAAACTACATCATTGCAACTTTGTAAGAAATAAACAAGAAATATGAAATCAAGTGAATGGATCTGAGGGCCAGTCGTAAACGTCCACTGTTACATACAGTCCCAGGGCCTGTAACCAATATCGTCTGGTTTGTCAAGATACACAGACTGTTTTGGCTGTTGCTAAATTAGTCCACAATTATATGTGTAATTTTAAGATGATTATAGTCTATTGGCTTTTATTTGGTTGAGACATTGTCTTCTTCTATCAGGTCGTCCATCTAATCAAATAAATATATTGATTATTGGTAAAATAACTGTACCTAAAATATGGTTCAAATTCAACAGGTTGTTTGGATTCACAAAACACCTAATTTATCTAATTAGTGTTATTGTAATCATTGAGGTAATGACCCCAAGGGTGACATAATGTGTTATGTTAATTGTAAGCACAACCTGTGCACAGATGTACTTATATAAGCTTTTTTTGCTTACATCTTATTTTGTGGTGTGTCAGTAATCCTGTGGGTTTTTTGGACTAGGCTGTCTGCATAAAATATTTTTGGTGGTATATGGTTGTACTTATTTTAATTAATTTTAGAGGGTGTATTTTAATTTGTATAGCTCTCCAATATTTAATGATACATGTATGTAAATCTACATTAAATTTTTGTAATTGTTCAAAATTTATTGACAGATCAACCTTAAACTACATGTTTTAGAAAGGTATATTTGATAAATTAAAGCAACAAAGGTTTTTTAAGGGGCTATAGTTTAGTTAAGATATTATAAGGCGAACAATTTTGAGTAAATTCTTAACTTACATCTGAGAATGCTTTGTTCACTTTAGGCAAGGCTCATAAAATTGAAAGTCATGTTAAGTTTTCAGGATAGGCATAAAGACTAACAATTAATTTTGAATCCGACAAATTGTTCTCCATGGGAACTTTATAGTTTTGTAGGTACTTCTGCATTGTATCAGCAGAGAGAGAGAGAGAGAGAAATGGGGTTTAACGTCCACTCAACACAAACTAGGTCATTTTGGGACTACATGTAACACATGGTTCAATTTTATTTCAACAATTCGCTTGCGCGTAGGGGTCTTTAGCAGTGGGAGGAAACCGGAAAACCTGGAGAAAACCCACGAGGTTGGACAGGCGACCCTACTCCTTGTCACGCCAGTTAACTCAATGACAGACCTTACGATACAGCGCAAACGTGCTTACCATTCGACCATCCAGCCCCCCCCCCCTTTGTATCAGCAGACATCCAATCATCCATTGTGAACAACTTAACATTTTTCTTAAAAAAATTATAAGATTAAATTTGGTTGAGTGAAAACACTTTGAGTTGACTGTGTCATCTTAAAATCACTTTCATATTTTGTCCCCCTAAATGACAGTATACAAAATTCACTTGTTATTCTGTTTTATTTATTAATTTTACTAATATTTGGTGGTCAAATTATTATGAAAAATACTATGTTTTAGCTTCAAATACCTTCAGTTTGTGAAATTTGATAGCAATTATCACTTAATTTAGAATAGATCTGACTTGAGTTGTTGAGCCCAGAGGCAGTATTTGAAATTACAGTTAAACATGTTATTGTGAGAGATTAATGCATGATTGAGTGTGGTAGTTTTTAACATGTGTAGGTAGAAGAAACTGTTCATAAGCATGCTTTTACATCACTCCTTCTGTTCATGAGTAATGTGTTCTTCCTACGATCAATAATTTATTTTCTGCCTTCAGAACTCCAGGAATCAATAATGGTATGTGTTGCTTCAACATAATTTATTCATCATTATCCCGACTGAGCATGCCTATGACAGTAGTTGGGAGAAAATTTATTCTTCATGTCAATGCAGGAATCTGGGTGAGATCATGTCTGCAATGATGATGTGAGGCATTTAAAAGAAGAAACAATTATTTAGGGTTAGTTTTTTTCATGTATTATTTAGTAGATTATATTGATGTACTATTTTTTCTAATTTATATCTTAAATCAGAGAGACAGATCAAATTCCTTAACATGATCGACCAGATCAAAATAAATTAAGACGGGATGATTAATATGTCCTACCCAAGGCCATCTTCTCATATATATTTAACCTCGTTAAAAGATACAAACCAAAAATATCTGATAATTGTTTAAGAATAACATAGCACATAGAATTAAAAGGGTTATATATTGTTTATTTAGGATCAATGTTGTTGGTAAACAATAACCATCTTAAGCATATGGTGACATCTTTGACATAAATAAACCCACTTAAAATGAGCAATATTTTATAAGTCTATCTCTTATTTGGTCTTTGAGAAATTCATTTCGTGTTATCTGCCTTTGATTGTGATATTGTCATCATCAATAATGGCTGCTATACCAGATAGCTAGAGTTATATTATCAGAATCCAAGAGAAGAAATAATTATGAAAATGTGATGGTCATTGTGTACGTCATGTAAAAAAAAGAACAATTAAATATTTATAACATTGATGAACATATTAGCCATTGACATTAAATTTATCTGTAAATGATAAGAGTTATATAGCGAATTAACTATTGACTTATTGTACTAAATATATTCTAAAAAGCCAGTAGTAGACATTTTGAAATTATTGTCTCATATGATCAACATATGATAATTTTTCTTCTAGAATGGCTGAGAATCAATTTACTATTTAACATGAAAAAGCTTTTGGAAGATACCGTTTTCATTCCTTATTTCCGTATTTAATAGTAGGCCTCTTCTCAGTCATTATACCATGTTAATTTACTTGTACACGACATCTATTCATGTAATTTGAACAGATCATGTTAGACCACATTTAGTGAAGCAGACAATACCATTTCTATTATCATAAATGCCTACATGTATACATATGTAATTAAAAATTACCAAGTTGTTTTTTAACTTTTTGCATATTATGTGTAGGAAGACCACACAGCACATAAAAATCAAACCCAGAACACACATATAAACCCAGACAAACACTTTGAATTCTTGTTTACATCAAATCTGAATGGTTCAGAAAGTTTCAAGCTAAGTATCTGGCATATAAAATTCTATGTTTATTTTTTTTTAAGATTTTTAATTAAAAGTCATTATGTCATCTGTAAAGGTTGCTGTGAGGGTTCGCCCTTTCAACAACCGTGAAATAACTAGAGATGCTGAATGTATCATTGACATGGCAGGTGACACTACAAGTAAGTACAGTCAACAGAATTATTATATTTTAAAATTTAGTTTCTTGATAAAGATCACAAATAAGTGTATGATGTCATGATGACAGGGTAAACTGTATTGGTATTTATATTATTGTAAATGCTTACTGTTAAGGATATTTTAAAGCTGTGCTTAATTTCTCTGTCTATAACTGCATTTATATTACAATATCTAATGAAATGGTATCCAGCTCGGCCCTGGAGCCGTATTACAAAATTTTCAGTATTACATGTACATATTCAGTCTAAAACAGAAGTGGTCCACCAAATGACTTGGTCTTGATCCAGGATTGTGTAGTGTTCGGTTAAAATTTTGATTGTTTGAATAAAAACCAAAACCGAGTCTGGACCTGTTATTTATGTACATAATAATACATCCTTAGTATTTCCTGCTTAAATTATCATTCGTCATGTATAGAGAATGGTTCAGGCCCTGATAGAATACTACTTCTTTAATAAGGTCCAGCATAAAGGGACTTTTTGATTTTCTGTTTTTCAGCCATAACAAACCCAAAGGCTGGATCAAAAGAAAGAAAAGCAAACACATTTTCATTTGACTACTCCTATTGGTCTCACACAACAGTAAGTATTTTTTTTGTTTAACCTGTTAACTGATAATTGTACAAATTTGTATGTAAGTAACATACTATTAACATGTGTATTGAAAGTGGTATAAACAAACCTGAAATACCTGTCACAGACATTCCCAGGAACAAATTCAGGCTTTGTGCGGCACAATTCCTCTGGTGCCAGTCCTTTTGTGAGACACAGATTTTCTTGTGTCTTTATTTAAGGACTTTATTTATACATGTCTGGCACAAAGTTAAAAATGTCAGGTGCTAGTTCAATTGTGATTGACATTTTGACAAGGTACAGCCGAAACTTGGTGTACATCGACACTTGCAACTGGCCGCAATTGGCTGCAACTGAGAGGATACGATAAGTTGCCGGTTTGTGTCAGTGTACTCGCTTGTAACTGGTAAACCATCAGTTGACAACAAGTTACTGCTAATTGCTTGTGTTCTACATTTCTAGGAACTAGTTGTACTCAGTTTCTCGAAAATGGTCAATCTACGCGACTGATCGTATCCAGTTTGTACGACCTAGAGGTCACGTGGGCCTTCACATGATCAGCATTCACTTCTATTTGTGTTGATTTGCTATGTATACTCTTAATTATGATAAAAAGAAAGGAAAACTCTTTTCTGAAAGGGGCTACAAATAGGCCTACCAATATTTTCACAAAATTTCAGCATAATTCTAGAGCTAAAACAGTAAGAGACTGTCAGATAAAAACAGCCTCGAAAAACTATGGAAATTCTTTGGTAGCCTAACTTTGTTCGTTCGTTCTTGGTGTTTAACGTCTGCTTCCACATAAGTGATATCGCAGACAAGACATAGGAGAGCCGAAGCTGATTCCTGTTTTTTAGAATATGATTTTGCAATCTTTCCATTTGGCCTTAGGCCATGGATTTGGTTTAGTGGGAAGTTCTTCCCTTTATTTAATATAAAACATATCGTTTGGTAGATGATCTCGTCTGCTTCTGGATTGGTAGATGTCATCGTTTGGGGTTAGTCTTTAGGTGCCAGACCCGTCTTATCGTGGCCTCCCCTTACTCCACTTTCCCACTCTCTGGGTTTGGTATCAGTTTTATTTGCGGAATAGTGTTTAGATGCCAAGTTCGTCTGACCGTAACTCCCCCTTACTCCACTATCCTGCTAGTTTGGTAGATGTCATCTTTGTGGGGTTTGTGTTTAGGTGCCAGGCCCGTCTTATCGTGACCTCCCCTTACTCCACTATCCCACTCTGTAGGTTTGGTGTCTGTTTTTGGCGGAATCCTGTTTAGATGCCGAGTCCGTCTGATCGAGACTCTCCCTTACTCCACTATCCTGCCAGTTTGGTATAAATCCCCTATGTAGTTTAGTGTTTAGATGCCTGGCCCGTCTAACCGTGACCCCCTCTTACTTCACTATTCTACTTAGTCCAACTGTGTCCATTAGGGCGTGGATTTGTTCGAAGATTTGCAGTTTCAGATCTGGTCTCGGGAAGAGTAGGTTCTTAGTGTTGAATGGTATGTTGTTGGTCTCCATTGTTCTCACTAGTTCCCTTCTCTCTTCCTCGTATACCTCGCAGTCTACCAGGACATGGTTGGCGGTACATTCTTCTCCGCACTTGGTGTTTGTAGTCTCGTAGCCGCTCTTTCAACTCGATGGTTTTCCCGTTCATACACAGAGTCATTCTGCTTATCCCTCTATCCCTGCTTAGCCTAACTTAATTTCCTGAGAAGGTTTATAGTAAAATACTATGGTATACGGCTTACACTACAGCTTAGTTATCATGTAGTTGTGCTGATTTAGTGGGAATTTCTGTATTTAAAGATGTATTATGTTTGCAGATCTTTATTTTGGCTTCAGTCGATAATGACAACCATAATCTGCCTAATGCACGTCTTTTTTGGGGCTTCAAATTTCATATAAACTACTATTTAGACATTTATTCATATGACAAGCTTAATCTGCCTAATGCAGGTCTTTTTTTGGGCTTCAAATTTTATATAAACTACTATTTAGAAATTTATTCACATGACAAGCCTATAATCAACTCTCTAGACTATCAGATGGCATGGATTTAAACAGATTAAAACACTGTCACCATTTAATGATTTAATTTAAAAATTGCAAATAGAGGCTAAGTTTCGAATAAAAAGTACCTTTGTTACGATAATAGACAATCTATGCCACATCTTGTCAAGACTTCAAACAGCGATAACTTAGCTCAGAATTAAGTATTTTGAATGACATTTTCAATACAGAGGCCTACATTTTGCATTATCTATTTTTAAACTATTATAGCAAAAACGGCCAACTCTTTATCTAAATCTTACATAATGCTTCGTTAACGAGCACATCAAGTGAGAAAACAATATTATATGTACATATAACTAGTGGTTATATATAGTATATACACATTACGGCAAGTTCACACCAATTTGATTAAAATTATTAAACATATTAACGTTTAAGTATTGGGCGCACAAAAACACTATTTAATTTTCCAATTACAACCTAAATCCGGTTGATTGGCTGGTGACGTCACAAGGCCAACATATAGAATATACACTACTATGCTCATATCACTGTCTATACACACCACCAGTTGACCTAATCATTATCTCATTATAATTATCTACATAAGCAGCTGTTAAGTCAAAACATTTTTAATAGCTGCCATTCTCGACTTGAATTGTTATAGATTACACACTTGTGACTGGAATATTTTAGAGTGAATTTTAAAATGCTGCATTATCATAGAAAGACATAGCCAACTTCCGTGTATTATCATGTCTATTATTGGTGTACGTGACCTTTCACAGGTATTTTGCGACCAAATCAAACATTTTACTAGTTTCGTAGTAAGCAACGCCGCAGGTATTGAATTACATGCAATAGCGAGATCACATGAAAGTGCCACTGCAGATAGGAATTTCTGTATGGAGTCTTAAAAGTTTCAATACGGAAGAAAGTTAAAGATGTTAACAGTTAGTGATTCGAATGGATATATAATGTATGTTGTTAGTGAATGGAAAATGGTTAAAATATTGTATAATGACAAATTGGCTGTCAGACGTGGCAATTGTTAGGAAATAAAATGGTTACAAACATTATTGTGTGACGGCACAGAACTCAAGTAAAACCAGTGGCCACGGGTGTGTCAGCATCGTCACGTTCACGCTTTGTAAAGGACTGGGCAGTAGATAAGTATCACGAAGCATTTTGAACATTATAATTACTGTCTATTAAATTGGGGCACTATATATTATTAGGATATGACTAGTTTACACATGCTGTCGGCTGACTTCAAGGACATTTAAAATGTCTGACGATGGAGAAACCATGAGGTAATCACATAGATGAAGTAGGCACATGTGACATATTTTTTATGAGTTATGTGTCAATGGTTGGGAGGACGTTATGTATTCTGTATAAAGACTGTATGCGTATCCATTTATTTTTTTTGGGGGGGGGAGGGGCGAGAATTAACTTATTTTATTTGTATTGCCTAAAACAAATTTTGCTGTCTGGGCAAAATTTCCCTCATATCACACTGTATGGCATATGCCCGTCTTCATTAGCCCAGTTCTGAGCAGATCCGTAGGATGTTAAACTCCATTTCATTTCATTTCCAACACTTATTATCTAATCTAGACGGACCATTTTAAACTATATGACAGTAGGAACCTAATATTTTTTGATGATTCTCAACGAATTTGAACAAATTAAAATTGCTAACAATGGTTTGAAACTAAACATTGAATACAGAAACTTCTGCTGAAACAGCACAACTAAACGATACCCCAAGTTGTAGTGTTATGACACAGGGACAAAATTTATATTTTCTGAAAGCTGATCACTTGGGCAGCCATTTTGAAAAAATCACATTACCCATGACCCACTGAAGCACTTGTAGTTCTGTTTAGCAGATACTGGTGTACACACGTTGAATTGAGCAACCAACCAGTTGCGGCCAACTGCTTTCAGTTGCCAAAGTGTTGATGTATGCAGAACTCATAGATTGACTGCAACCAATCAGTTACACTAATTCAAGTCTTTGTGTCGATGAACACCATTTTTTAATTCATTATTTCCGCATTATTTTGTCATGGATTACTGTTGATTAGATAGCCGATTTTTATACTCCCACATTTTCATGTAGACGTATATAGGCATCACCCCTATTTCCGTGCGTTCGTTCACATTTTGTTTGTGGACACGTCACAATTTTTATCCGATTTTAACGAAACTTGAAATATAGGTTTATTTCCAAAGATCTTGGTTCCTTTCGATATTGGCATGTATTGGACCATAACTTCATGTATTATAGCCCCTGATTGTACAAAAAATTGTGTTTTTAGCTTGTGGGCCCTCTAGAGGTCACAATTTATATTTGATTTTAAAAACTGTTCATATATATATAACTGTTACACCGTAATGATGGTTGAGTTAGAATTTTGTGAAAATCAGACCAAAATGGCCACTCCCTATATGCAAATAGTGTAAAAGTATGTAATACATTGTGGACCCTCTAGAGATCACAATTTTTATCCAATTTTGTTGAAACTTTAAATATATTTTTATATCCAAAAGATGTTGGATCTTTTTAATATTAGCCCATATCGGATAGTAGCTTCCTGGATTATTTATGGCCCTGATTGTACGAGAAATCATATTTGTAGCTTATGGAGACTCTAGAGGTCGCAATTTTTATCCGATTTCGATGAAACTTAAAAGGTATGTTAATATCCCAAATAACTTGGTTCACTTCAATATTTTTTTAGCTGGTTCACTGCCCATCTCATGCAAAATGTGGGTGTGTCTTGCATGGTAACTGTTTGTTAAAAATTTTGATATTTATTGTTATGTGAAAGTGAAAGATAATTTTATTGATAGCTTTGTGTTATATTACACAATTTGTAAAATATTTAGGACTTTATCATATTGTGAAATAAGTCGTTACAGTTTTATCGTGTCATCAATGAGAGTAAAACTTTTACACGGTCATGACTTCCTATGATCTTTAGTTTTCCAACAGAATACAATATTGATTTTCGTTATATAAATAATGAGTAAGATCTTCTTCAACTTCTGTTATTAAATGATAAATCTTCTCCAACCTCTGATCAATAATACCTCCGTCTTCCTTTAAATGGATGATGCATATAGGATCTTCTTCACTTTCTGTTAAATAAATGATGAATAATGTCTCTGTGAACTTCTGTTGAATGAATGATAAATAATATCTTCTCCGTCTTCAACTTCCAATAATTAAATGACGAATTTGATTTTCTTCAACTTTTGTTAAATAAATGATGAATAGGATCTTTTTCATCTTCCATTTTATAAATGATTTAATTAATAAGATCTTCTGTTAATTATTTAATGAAATAAAGGAACTTTCATTTTTACAGACTTAAATGCATGTATGTGCAGTAGTTAATGAGTTTCTCTGGAAGATAATGTTTAATTCTTTTAATTTCAGGCAGCAGATCCTAATTTTGCTTCACAAAAAAAAGTTTATGAAGACATTGGCATTGAGATGTTAGATCATTCATTTGAAGGATATAATGTTTGTATATTTGCGTATGGCCAGACAGGTAGTGGTAAGAGTTATACAATGATGGGTAAAAATGAAGCAGGTCAAGAGGGTATTATTCCACAGGTGAGATATGTATATTAGAACTTAGCATTTTCAAAGCCGCATTTGTCATTTTTGCGAGAATTTTGCTGAAGGGCATATCCCAGATTTAATTTAGAACAGTTGTTAAGTTTAGAATAAATAGGTTAATGAAGACAAAAAATAGTTTAATGAAGACAAATGATCAGTTTCATGTGGAAGACATCAGAGAGTTTTCCTCTAGCTCCATTTCAAAATCTGGAGCAGATTCGTAATAAAGGATTATATTTTGTTGATCTACAATTTGTCATTTGGTTATAATGACCCCATGTCTTAAGTCAATGACACTTGTCAATAAATTGTTGCATTGTGTGCATATCATTAGGATTATGTGACTTATAATTTATCAGGAGGTTTATTTTCAAGTTATCAGTATTGACCTCATTAAATTCACAACGTGCCCTCTTTTTTAATAACATCTTTGTTTTATGAACAGAATAAATAATATCATGTGTTTTAAAAAGTATTGTGTATACATTATTTATTGAAATATATATTTCAGCTTTGTCAAGATTTATTTGAAAGAATAGAAAAAGCTAAAGTTGATGATGTAAAATTTTCAGTAGAGGTAGGTAGCATATAAATAATTAGTAAAAGTTGGTAAAAATTAATTGGCTTTGATTCCAAAAAGGCAATAGTGTATAAAGTTCTTAAATAAGAAGTGTGGTATGAGATGTTTTAGTCCGAACAACATTAGAAGTTCGCTCTAGCTCTTAGTTGAATCAGAAATTTAATTATGTTGAATTTCATTGATTACTCATATTCCTTGTAATATACATTTTTGCAGCATAATGATGATTTTTTATGAATACATGTATTTATCTTGTGTTACAGGTTAGCTATATGGAGATCTACTGTGAACGAGTTCGTGATTTGCTTAATCCAGGAAACAAAAACAGTCTACGAGTTCGTGAACATCCACTATTAGGACCTTATGTAGAAGATTTATCTAAATTAGCCGTTCAACATTTTGATGATATAAATAAACTTATAGATGAAGGCAACAAAGCTAGGTGAGTCTACACAAGTTAAAAAAAAAACATACTGATGGACAACAATTTGAATTTTATCCTGAATATGTTGGGGTTAAATTTCTCAAAATATCAGTATTAATTCCAAAAACAACTTGAAAGAAAATAACAATATAAATGAACTTTGAGGTCAACAGCTCTTACCTTTTTCAGACATTAAAACAAATATTAAATTATTCATGAAAGTAATAAGTTTTAGGTTTCAAAAATGAATTATTTTTGTTCTCATTTGGGTATATGAGATTTTGTGTGCCTTGCAATGAAATATTGTTGTTTTTTTTTTTTGTCTAGAACTGTTGCCTCTACCAATATGAATGAAACCAGTAGTCGATCTCATGCTGTATTTACTATTATATTTTCTCAAAGACGTCATGATTCTCAAACTAATATGGTTGGTGAAAAGGTAAATTGAGTGTATTTTGTTTATTTCATTAGAATTTATAAATGCTTAAAGATAGATATTAATTAGGTCATCTGAATACTTTAACATGCATTATGTAAGAGCTAAATATGACTATTGCAGGTCTTTCTTGAGACCTTATATGTTATCTAAATTTTTAATTAGACATTTATAAACAAAACAAGACAATAATCAACTCTCGATGTCATCGGATACTCAAGATTTTAACTAGATTAGAACGGTTCGCCTTTTAAAAATTTAATTTAAAAATGGGAAAGCGAGAAGTCTTGAATATACCAGTGCCCTGGTTACCACAATGCACACATCCTGTCAAAACTACAAACAGTGATAATTTAGTTCAGAATAGTGTAATTTGAATGAAATTTTCAAAATTTCATTTTGCATTATCTATTTTTGAGCTATTGTAGCAAGAATGGTTAGCTCTTTATCTAAATCTTACATACATGTTTAAATGTATCTTTAACTAAATGTATATTTCTTATGACCTACAAATATATCTGAATATTGCTATATTTTCACTTTATTGTAAATTGCATCATTTTATAAGTTGATGTTATTTTTCACCAATATTCACAAAGACAGTGTAATTGCTAGTAAGAAGTATTAGGGATATTCTTTAGATATATGTATGTGTTTTTATTTATAGGTTAGTAAGATAAGTCTTGTTGATTTGGCTGGTAGTGAAAGGGCTGATTCAACAGGAGCACAAGGCAAAAGACTTAAAGAAGGTGCAAATATCAATAAATCTTTAACAACTTTAGGCAAAGTTATATCAGGTTTAGCTGAAATGGTGAGTTTTTCAAAATTTTTGTGTAATCCATTTATTTGGCGGAATGAAATGAACTTCTTTTATAGGTGTCAAATAAATTCAGGAAAATATATTTTGATTTTAGGAAGCCTTTAATCTTCCTCAGAAGCATGTTTTTTTTTTAATAAGCAATATTTTACTCAGCATATCTGAATGGGATTGGGGAACAGGATTGTTTATTGTCTATTAAGAAACAAAGTATGATTTTTTGTTTAAATTTCATGTATAATGCTTATATTTACATATATATATGTAATATATAATAACATGTAAGTAAAAAATTAATATGATATTAGACTTCATTCCTCATTTCCCCATTTAATGTTAATGATAATGATGCCTATCCCATTCAAAATTCTGGAGAAACTGATATCTCATGTATTTACATGCTGGTAATCAAAGAACCTGAACTAACAACAGTTTATGGCGTTGCAGCAAATAGCAACACTGCCGTTGCTCAATTCCGACTTGGTTAATAACCTCTGTGGCATTCAATTTTTCTTTTATTTTCATTGTAATTTGAGTTTATATTTTTTAGATTAACTTTTTTTATACTTATTTAATTATTTTAGTCAAACAAGAAAAAGAAAAAGGCAGATTTTATACCATACAGAGATTCAGTTTTAACTTGGTTGTTACGAGAAAACTTGGGTAAGCTTTTGTATCATTATTCAGATAAGTACATGAACATAGAGTTTGTAATTAGACCATGCATGTTGAAGAGTATAAACAAGTCCTCGTATAACTGATGACATCCTAAAAATATGGCAAAATGCATTTGATTTTGTCCAGCCATTTTCTTAAATTAAATGATGATAAAACCAAACGTGCAGAACCATTTTGAGAATTGGCAATTCCACATTTAGTCCATATTCAAACACATAATCTTGGAGTTAGCTTGGAATTTTATATTAATAATGTCTGCATGACTGCATATTGTCAGATCAGAAACAAATAAATAAATATATAATGATCAATTGTCTGTAAAGTCTTTTGTTTTATACAGACTGAATTATTGTTATTGCCTTCTGTATTCTGTCCAACAAAGTATCTTGTAGAAAGCACAGTAACAAAACTGATTTCTCACACACAAATTCATCTGTACCAGAATACAATACAAATTACTTGTATGTATTCAAGGTTATACGTAGTTAAACTCCTGCAGACATATTTGGATAACCCCACTTTCTTAAGAACCTAAGGAATCCTTTAAAAGTAACTTAGTTTAACATTGTGAGAAGAGGCCTCGGCCTCGAAATAGTAAAAATCGAACTAAAAAAAATGTGAATGTGAAGGCAAAATAAATGTGTTTGTAGTAGATCAATTTCCATTGAAATGATTGTTGTTATGTTCTTTGTAGGTGGTAATTCAAAGACAGCTATGATAGCTGCTTTAAGTCCAGCTGATTTGAACTATGATGAAACATTGACCACATTGAGGTAAGTAGATGTATCTGAATGCATAAATACATAAACCTCTGTTATACCTTAATATTCATTTGAATAAAAATCGTTATATAGCCAACTTGTAAAACATTCACTTGTATATTCTTATGGCAATGGTAGAACTTAATTGTAAAGTGTAGAATTCATCAGTGTTAAAACCGTATTTATTTATTTTGTTTTAGATATGCTGATCGAGCTAAACAGATCATGTGTAAGGCTGTTGTCAATGAAGATCCTAATGCTCGACTGATCCGTGAATTGAAAGAAGAAGTTCATAGATTAAAAGACCTTTTAGCTAGTGAAGGCATTGAAATCAAAGAAGGCAAGTATATCAAAGAAGGCAAGTACAAAAAAGGCCCAACTTGCCATAATAGATATTATTAGATATCAACTGTAGAGTCTTAATGTCTTACTCAATTATAATACACTTGCACAAAGTCTTATTAAACAAAAATTATTCAAATGAATCAATTCTAGTTAACCCTTAACTGGTCGACATCATTTTGACGTCATGACGTCAAGTGGTCAGGCTAAAGTGAAATATTTTGTATGCCTATTTCAATCGACTACTGCCGGATAATTATAAGTGATAGACCCTTGACACCAATAAAAAATTTGAAGGGGATCAGTTGATCTATAATTTGCAAATCATTCTAAATCATTTTCATCAGAAATATCGTCGGAATCATTCATAAGCATTTCAAACACTTTGAGAGTCTTTAACCATCCGACATCGTTAAATTACGTTTTTGGGCAAAAAATGTTGAACAAAGACATGTTTTTCTCAATGCCCTTGACAAGACAAGTTCCTGTTTGACATGCATGCCTGGCCATATCAATTAGATACGAAACTAAATACTCAAATGCAGCTTATAAAAAAGGTTCTTGCTGTGATCGACTTTAGTCGACCGCCACCACTTAGCTGTATAATGTTGTGGTGATTATAGTCGACAATGACCGGTTAAGGGTTAAGCTGTATTTACATTTTTTTATCGAATTAATTTACTCATCAGGGTTGCCCCAGCCAGTAAATGTCAGATCTCGTAAGGATTCTCTTAGTTTTGAAACTGGAGAAGATGCTATTGAAAGATTACAACTCTCTGAGAAATTGATAGCTGAACTCAATGAATCATGGGAAGAAAAGTTGCGGAAAACAGAAAATATCCGCAAGGAAAGGTAAAGTAGACATTCTGTATATTTATGATAATTTATAACGTAACAAATGTATGAAATAATTCAACAAGAAGCAAACAATATGATGGTTACGGTGTGGAATTAAAAGATGATGTGATATAGATTGTCTTATTCAGCAATGATTATAAGAATATTTTCGAACTGTTAGAGCAGTGTTTTGAGACTTTGTTTGATTACTTTGGTACATATTTATTATTTTTATTAAATGTTAATAGAGAAGCGGTATTAGCAGAAATGGGAGTTGCTCTGAAACAAGATGGTGGAACAATTGGAGTATTTTCCCCTAAAAAGGTAGCCAAAAGTCTTTTAGTTCTTTTAATAATGAATTTAGAGTTGTTGGTAGATATAAATTGGATATTGAAAAAGACCCCAAATTGAAAGAATTAGGATGCAACAATTCACATAGCTTGAAGATGCTTGTTCTGGCTTCAAGTACCATATTGCTATGATGATAAAAAACCAACACTAAATTTTGTCAAAACTTCAAAATATTCATTTTGCATTATCTATTTTTGAATTATAATAGCAAGAATGGCCAACTCTTTATCTAATTCTTACATTATGCATCTAAGTAGCTATATTTATTGTTTCATCAACCCCTTGAGATTAAGTAATGTAAACTTGTCATATCTAATCTGTTCTTAATTTTATTCACAGTCTCCACATTTGGTGAATTTAAATGAAGATCCATTGATGTCTGAATGTTTGCTATATTATATAAAAGATGGCACAACTAGGTATGTCATCGTGTTTTTTCGTCCGATGCCAAATGTAGTTACGTGAGTGGTGTTCAAATAGGCTCTATTTGTACCTGTATTGTTTCTGGAAAATATGTCATTTCTAGATCTCTTTATGAAACTTTGTATTCACATAACCTATTATATTTGTAAGTTGGAATTAATAATATTTATGTCTCCATGGAAACAAATTTGAATTAGTTTTTGGTATACAAAGGCCTGAAATGTTGATGACTGAATCTTCTTTTTTTGATTACTTCTTATAGTTCTAAACAAATGTGTACTTCTTCCGTCCTTGCTTTTTGACATTTTTTTTTAAAATCTTTATTGTGTATATTCAAATTTATACTGAATATTATTCTTTATTCATTAAACATACATTATGCAAGAGCTAAATCTGATTATTGCAAGTCTTTATTTAGGCTTCAGATGTCATAGAAATTATAAATTAGATCTTTATTTACACAACAAGCACAAAATCAACTCTGTAGACCCACGGATGGCTTGGATTCAGCTTGGATTTAAACAGGATTTCGTTGACTGATTTAATTTTAAATGGCGTCGTGAGGGGAGATTAACCGTTACTTTGACGTCATACTCCCGGATTGAGGCTAAATGATAGTGTACAAAGCGAGGCTGCTGTTGAGCGATGCCTTAACAAATGACATCTCCTGGAGACCGTGTGATGACTAATACAGACGGACAGGTCTTCTGTCTTAATAATATCAATAAAAATATTTTTATTTCCCCAATAGGCACGACGCCACTGGTGTATACCTATAGATTTATCATAATTGTATTATAATATTATGTCCTATATTCAATTATTATTATTATTATTATTGTTCGATTTATATAGCGCTTCATTACACGTGAAGTGTTTCTAAGCGCATATCACAAACATATACTTCAAACACACAGAAACAATCAAAATCAGGAGAACATAATTAAACACAGCTGCCTGTTAGGCGCTATTATTCAAAGGTTTATATCCAACAAATCAACCGGCTAATCTCAATATTGAACTCAGTCGAGGTATTACCTGATGAACACCTACACCAAGTAGAGTTCAAAAATAAAAACAAAGTTTAAAAGAATCAACTTCATTAACAAAAATTAAACAATCAAAAACTAAACAGATAAATCAAATTCAAACGAAACAAATAAAACAAAGAAAATGAAAAGAGCAGTTCGTTACCATTCTACATTAACAAAATAAAGGAAATCAACTTGTGAAAATTTTTTCAAAAAATAAGAGCAAAGTAACACTAATGTTAATAATTATCAAAAGGAACCAAGATCTTAATGATAAAAACATATATTTAAAGTTTCATCCAAATTGGATAAAAACTGTGGTCTCTAGAGGGTCCACAACCTTGATATACCATATCTATCTATTTCTTAATTAATTACAGGTATGTAAATTATTGTACCGGTAACCTAAATTTTATGAATATTGTACAGAAATTGTAGACAATATTATGTGAACATCCCCGAAATATATATAAGTGTACGGTTAAATCTTGTAATATTGACGGTTATGTTTTTATTAATCTTAAAGATTTTCAAAAAGAAACCATGGATATAGATCATTAAACATACATTATGCAAGAGCTAAATCTGTCTATTGGAGGTCTTTCTTTAGGTCTGAAATGTTATCTAAATTATTAATTAAACATTAATTAACCAATTGATTTAATGCATGCCCAAAATACAAGTAAGAATGAAAATTTACCCTCTCACTCATTTTGTCCAATTGTTATAAAAATCCAAAAAGGTAAAACACAAATTCGGATATGATGACAGCAGACAAAAGACAGCAGAGATTATGTAGGTGGAGTTAACGCCTGTCAATCAAACGATCAGCCATACTAAGAATCGGTAAAGATGGAATTCAATCCCATTTCTAGTCAAAAATTACATTGGTGATAACTATGTTCAGAATAAAGTAATTTGACTGAAATTTTCAATATATTCTTCTTTCATCATCTTTTTTTGAACTGTTATAGTAAGAATGGCTAACTCCTTATAATAATCTCCCATAATGTATCTTTAAATAGAATTGGACTGGGAGGTACTGCACAGCCAAAAGATATCCAGCTTAGTGGTGCCAATATCCAAGAGAATCATTGTACATTTGAAAATAAAGACGGTAAGATTCTTTATTATCTTGAAATTCAATTTTAGTTTTTCATTTTGTCTTCATTTACAAAGAAAACCTGTATTTTGGTTTATTCTTGTGAAAGTCTCACATTTAGATTTCAGAAGTGAAATTGATAACATTCTCAGTTATTATTACTTTCAGGCATTGTGATGTTAGTTCCAGAAGAGGGAGCGTTATGCTATGTAAATGGCCGGCAAATAAATGAACCTACAGAAATAAAGACTGGTGCTAGAGTTATATTAGGAAAACATCATGTTTTCAGGTTTAATCACCCACAGCAAGGTAAACTAATTTAATATACAAATCTTCTTAATGATACTTGAAAATTAAATGTTTCTAAAATCATGCACATTTACACTTTAAACTTTTTAAATGTTATACCTTTCACACTTCTTTAATATTTATAAACTTAATTATTTACAAAATTTTGATATCTTGTTTTTGACAGCTCGAGCCAGCAGAGCTTTGATGATGGAATCTACAGATAATTTAATGAGTAAGTTAATACTAATTATCACAGACTTTACAAAAATAACTTGTATAACTAATATTTGAATATTCACAATGGCCAAACCTTTATATAATTCTTATCTTAAGACCTATTAATATTAAAGTAATTGTTGAATTCTGTTTCTGTGTGCTGTGGATTTATGATTGGTCTATCTTGTTGCAGCCATTTGTCATGGATGAGATTTCTGAGTAACAATAAGGGATGATTTTATTATATTTATTTTTATACGAAAGAATACTGATATCCAGAGTCAAAATAATGAAATAGATAATCAAATTTTCAAATTACATTAACCCCAACTTTTGAAAATAATGATTTATCTATCATTATCCCTGACTTAAGAAAATTTCTAAGTTCATCAACCATTCTTACTGATGTTCTAGACTTTGCCAGGTGTGATTGATAGGGTGGATGACATTCATGCAGCTTGAAGAAGGGCACATCTTAAACACAATTGCATTTTTTCCTAGAAGTCCCCATGAAGTATTTGTCATTTAATCAGAGGTGGTCATATATTAAACACCCCATAACGTGTGTGTGTGTCATTTAATCAGAGCTGGTCACATATTAAGCACCCCATAACATTTGTGTCATTTAATTAGAGCTGGTCACATATTAAACACCCCATAATAACGTGTGTCCCATCTAACCAGAGTTGGTCAGAGTTTGATTAATACGTATTCCAAGCATTAGTAAATATATACATTCCATTGCCCTTATTGTGCCATTTCTTCTCATCAGGTGAACCGGTTGATTGGACATTTGCTCAGCTAGAGTTATTAGAAAAACAAGGAATAGATTTACGTAAGGAAATGAATCAAAGGTAAGTTTAAGTGAACATTAATTAGTCAAACGCTCATAGTTTTGAAAATTATAAGAAATATATAAGCACAAGAATGTCAGAGTTCTTTTGGAAATACTTACTGTATTTACCATTTGTACTTTTTCACAAAAGTTTATTTCTTATCAAAGGTTGTTGAATTTAGAAGAACAGTATAGGAAGGAGAAAATTGAAGCTGATCAGTTATTTGAACAACAAAGAAAGGTAGGTTTATTGGAATATAGAATATAACTAATTTTTAAAACATTGAAATAGTTCCTAAATATGGTCAAACATTTTCCATTCACAAAGTAAGCTTGTAGATTTCTTAGCAATTAAAAAAAAAATTCTTGTTGCATATCTACGTGTATATTAATTGTTTGCCAACCAACATCAAAATCATTATGTATATCCTGTACAAAAATCCAAACTCCACTTCTGTTCAGTAGCTATATGTATAAATATGTTTGTTATATGTGTATTTTGTATAGGACTATGAGAATAGAATACAGTCTCTACAAGAACAGGTTGAAAGACATTCCATGATGTCAAGTTTTGCTACAATCAATGATATAGATCTAGAAGAAGAAATAGAAGGTATGTATATTTATATAGTTAATTTCTACATTATTTATTTGGTACAACCAACAACTAATCTTACACTGTTTCAGCTTTGTAGTCTTATCAACATTAATTGTGTTTTAGCATTATTTCCTTTTGACAACATACAACCCCATATTAAAGTAACATTGGATTATCCTGTAAAAAATTATGAAATTGTAAGACGAGATGTAGATTCAAAATGACACATCTGTAAGTGTTTTTAGCAATTGTATTAACACTGGTATTTATAAAATAGATTTTCTCATTTATGTAAAAAGTGAAATAAAATTGATCTGCCTATTTGTAGAAGAATGTACATGGACAGAAAAACAGAGGGATTTGGTATCTTGGGCATTCCGTAAATGGAAATATCATCAATTTACGTCACTTAGAGTAAGTTTGTTTTAGTATGTCCATAAGCAACACTTGTTGATTAATGCATATTCTACATACTTAGTACTTAAGATAAATGAAATTTGTGTGTTTCAGTAACATAAAATTCATTTCACGGCACAAAAAGTACAGAAGTTTTGATACCAGTACTAGTGTTTTGATATGTCAATGTTTGTTTGTTACATATTCTTTGTTTATAATTACAGGATGATTTATGGGGAAATGCCATATTCTTGAAGGAAGCAAATGCTATAAGTGTTGAATTAAACAAAAAGGTAATAAGCTAATGCTTGATACATTCTATGAATTTGATATTGTTGTCTGTGTCCTAAGACAAATTTTTACAGTTGTCTTTTTTTTACCATTATTTTTATTCCCATTTTAAAAAAAAAAAAAAATCTCTCCCTTACCCTTTTAAGAAAATTGACCTAAAACGTATGCTTCTATCTTGTGTGTAAAATTTCATAAATTGATCTGCTACACCATTACCTTCCAGAACAAAAGTGTAATTTGTGACAAATTTATGTTCATTTTGATGGTATGTTTTACAGGTTCAGTTCCAGTTTGTTTTACTAACCAGTACTTTATACTCACCACTGCCACCAGAATTATTACCATTAGAAGACCGTGAAGAAGAACGACCATTCCCTAGAACTATAGTAGCTGTAGAAGTACAAGACTCTAAGAATGGAGCTACTCATTACTGGAGTTTAGAGAAACTAAGGTATTTCAAACATTTTTATCTTGTCATGTTTTTCATTATTGCCTGGCGTAAAGCAGTTCTAAATCTCATATAGAACATGCATAACACATACATGTGTGTAACAAATGAAATGGGGTTTAACGGCTTACTTTTTGACAAATGTAGATGGTATGTGTAACAGGAGCCAAATTATATACTTACACTATAATTCAGAATGAACATTTGTAGAATCACTAAAACAAAGAATACTATTTATAACAGTGCCTAAGAGAATTCAATACACACTTTGTACAGAAATGATAATAAGCATATACTACATCCCTTTCCATTTAGGCTATAGGTAGCCGCTGTACTGAAGCGATCAACAATATCTTAACTTACTATTATTATATTCATTTATTGATGTTAGAAGAATCCAGACAGATAAGGAACAATATACAGATTCATATATATATCACCAATTTCAAAAATCATGCTAATATATTTTATTTCAGTTTTGTATACATTATTATGCATGTATTCAATACAAGGAGTTCTTATGATACACTTCTGTCATAATTTTCTTTTGTTACAACTACTGTTAATTGTATTTTTCTTTTTTAGTGGGTCTAATGGCAAATTTTTTTTATGTTTTGTTTTTTAAAAAGAGTGATTTTAACTTATCAGTGCACTATTGAAGTTTTTAGAAGCAATTAAAAGTATCATAAGATCTCTTGTAGATATTAGTGTAGAAATAGAAATTTAATATTTCAATCTTTTCACTCTTAAATCTGGTATTTTCTTACAAAAAAATTCCTAAGGGCTATTATTAAAATGTCTTGTGTTTTCCTTGTAAATTATGTTCTGTATTTTAAATTGTCTGCTTAAATATAATAATTAGTTGATCGCTATTATGTATTTTTTTATTTTAATTCATTGAAAAGTTGTTTGTGGTTACGTGGATGAGTTTTGACTGATAAATGAATTTCATTGGTTCATACCATTTGGGTTAAATAAAGGCAGTAGTATTTTCAAAGACTAATGGATCAACTATTGTGACTTGACAGTCTATTTGAATAGATGTTCATTGTAGTCAAATAGGTTGTAACTGTGCACATCAATGTAGTATAAGCTTATTATCATTGACATGAAAACACATTTTTTAGGTAATTTGTTTTTTATTTTCAAAAATTATGATAATTTAACTTAGTAGTAACCTGTTGAAGAAACTCACAAATTTTTGAATTTTTATTTTGTCCACAAAAACAGAGGAGAAAACAAGCTTTATACATATATATCATAGACCTGGGTTCCTATAAATCCATGTAATTCCAATTCATTTTTAGCACATTGATTCTTGACAATTATACTACGATTATAAATAAGTAACAAATTTGAATCAAATGTTGTTCTGTTTGGAATGTGCATCTAGAAGAATTCAATTGATCCAGATCTCATCTATGAACGCCATTGAAATATTAATAATATTAACAGAAACTAACCAATGCACCATGTTACTTTCTAGACATCGTTTGGAACTCATGAGACAGATATACAATGAGGATTCGTCACCGGATACGCCTGAAGCAAAGCAGGACTTCTTTACATGTCTAACTGGTTGCAGTCAGCAAAATGTCTTTAATTTCAAAAACCTAATCCAATCCAGGTCTGTCTATCCTGTATGTTAAATGTGTCTATGATTATTTTCATTGTTTTTTTTTTCATTTGAAGCAACAGTTTCATTTAGATAATACAGCTTTTTAAATCATCTCACTGGGTTTATCAAAATGAATTATTTTGTTGAAAATAAACTGTCACCTCAGCTTGTTAACTTTGCATGTTCTTTTGTAATAAATGGCTGTTATCCTCAAAAGTTTTAACATTCATGTAAGTGATGATATGGTGTTTGTTTGCTTTATATATTTTCACATTTTTTTTTTTATAAATTTAATGAGAATCTCACTTTAAATGTTATTGGGTTTAAAAATAAAAGAAAACATTTTGCAAGAAGAAAATGATTCCCAAAAATTAAAACAAATGATGAAATTAGTCATTGTCACATATAACACACAGACTAGACAATTTGGAAAAAGTGAATATTACATATTGAAAACCCCAGTATGTGTGCATTGACTTCTTTTATGTGTCAAATTAGACACCATGTGCCCGTCTCTATATTTTTAGTAGGAAAGGCATTAAGTTGGAAAATAATGCTTGAACATTTTGTACATGAATTATAATAGTAATTATGATAGTGTTAGCAAGGTTCATTAGAAATAAGTATGTATGTGGTCATAATTTTTGTAGGAATCAGTTAACGATGATATAATGCCTTCTAAACTACAATTCTATTCTATATATATTTTAATATATACATTCATATTTTCGAATTTGTAAACATAATGTTATACATGGCTACAACATAGTGTTTTTCAAAAGTAACAGCATTGTTTCATTCAAAGGTTATAACATAGTGATCTTCAACGGTTACTACATAGTGTCTTTCAAAGGTTACAACATTGTATCATTGTGTGATTCAAAGGCTACAACATAGTGTTCTTGACAGTTACAGCATAATGTAATTGTGTAATTCAAATGTTACAACAGAGTGTTATTAAAAGATTACATCATTGTGTCCTTCAAATGTTACAACATTGTGTCCTTCAAATGTTACAACATAGTGTCCTTAATAGGTTACAACATAGTGTAATTCAAAGATTACAATAAAGTGTTCTTGAAAGGTTACACAACTGTATCATTCAGAGCTTACAGCATAGTATCATTCATTGGTTACAAAAACATACAACATAGTGTCATTCAAAGGTTACAACATAGTGTCATTCAAAGGTTACAGCATAGTTTCATTTACTGGTTATAGCATAGTGTTCTTGAAAGGTTACAACATTGTGTCTGTCAAAGCTTTCAACATAGTGTCATTCAAAGGTTGCAAAACATAGTGTCATTCAAAGGTTGCAAACCATAGTGTAATTCAAAGATTACAACATTGTGTCATTCAAAGGTTACAATGTAGTGCCATTCAAAGGTTACAATATTGTGTCTTTCAAAGGTTACAACATTGTATCTTTCAAAGGTTACAACATTGTATCTTTCAAAGGTTACAACATAGTATCATTCAATGGTTTCAACATTGCATCCTTCTAAGGTTACAACACTGTGCCATTCAAAGGTTACAACACAATATCATTTAAAGGTTACAACATTGTGTCATTCAAAGGTAACAACATTGTGCCCTTCAAAAGTTACATCATACTCCAGCATGACCATCTAATTGTGATATTGTTGGTATCTAGATTTATCACATTATCTGATTCTTTGGTTCTTTATTATTCATGCAGTTGAGAGTTACTTGATGTTGTGTATTTAATATTATTATTATTACAACAAGAAATTCTTGCACTTTTTTTCTCCTTTTGATAACCTTGAGAATGAAATGGGGTTTAACAGGGGGTTTAACATCCAACTTTTGTGCGCCAATTTATATGATGGACTTTTATTGACATTTCTAACACCTTCTCACATTGTAGAGTGAAAAGATTGAAATTTTTTGTATTTGTTTTTACTTATTTTGTGTTTGCTTGTAGATATTTTATTTGTTGTATCGTTGTATTAATGTATAGAAAAAGCCAGTAAATAATAAATAAGTAAGTAAAGAATGAAATATTAATAATTTCAGGAAACGATTAGAACTAATGAGAGAAATGTATCCTAATGATGGAGATTTGTCACCAACTTCACCACCACAGTTAGACAGTATGTCTGGTGGAGATCCATTTTATGATAGATTCCCTTGGTTCAGATTAGTTGGCAGGTAATTCGAAATTAAGATAAATAAATTGTATAGTATTATAAAGTAGTTGACATGATCATCTAGTAATTTATTGTTACTATGTTGCTAAAACGGAAGTTTACCAGTGTCATGAATACCCTATAATATTGTGCTGGAGTTATATCCAGTAAGATTTTATTTTTGACATTTTCTTTTTTAATAAAATGTAAATTGTTCAAGATTTTTTTCTCATAAAACAGTATTAAAATTATCTAATACATAATCAAAGTCAGACCTTAAAATAACATAAATTGAAGATTGTACTTTACATATGCTTCAAGAAACTGTCCCTTGGGTAAATACTGTCTGGGTGGTCTGCCAGTGATTCAGAAGTAATATTATTTTTTAACTTTAACCTCTGTCCTAAACATTTTAATATAAATGTGTGAAATATATTTCAGGGCTTTTGTATATTTGAGTAATCTGTTCTATCCGGTACCATTGATACATAGAGTCAATATTGTCAGTGAAAAGGGTGAAGTAAAGGGTTATCTACGTGTTGCTGTACAGGCCATTACAGGTATGCTTTTAATTAATATGAAAATATAAAGATCATTAATTTCTTTAGCCGCAAGTAGTTAAAATAAAGTATATATTGGGTTTATCTTACATGTTATTTCAATTTATGATGGGGCAAGCACTATTCAATTAGATTGAATAATTGGTTTGAAAGTTTTTGGAGCATTTTTTACAGATGCATTATGTAAGGGCTAAATCTGCCTATTGTAGATCTTCCTTTTGTCCTCAGTTATATAAATCATTAAGTAGACATTTATTCATATGCCAATCAACTCTATAGAACATTGGATGATTTTGGAGCCATGATGGCTAGGCGGGTAAGATGTTAACTCGCTAACCTGGAGGTGCTCGATCCCTGTATTGGGCGAGAAAGTTCATCCAGATTTTCTGGCGTGGTTCCCCCTTGTCAGTGGAGCAGGACAGAAGGCCTGGCAAGAAACAACATAGTTTTTCTGATGGGACGAAAAATAGAGGTCCTGTGTACACGTTGGCGTACACATAAAAGATCCCTTGGCAGTTAGAATTCAACATAATAGTAGGCCGTAGTGCCACTGTCCGGGCAAAATTTATCTCATAGCACACTGTATGGCGTATGCCTGTCTTCATTAGCCCTGTTGGAGCAAAACAGTAGGACATTAAACCTCATTTCATTTATTTTGGATGGTTGTGATTTGCAATGGATTTAAAGATAGTCACCAGTTGATGATTTGATTATAAAATGGATCATCTAAACTTTGTTTATTATCGTAACAACAATAAAAATGACAATCAAGTATACACTTTTCTTCAAACAGCCAATACTTGGCTCAGAATGAAGTTAAGTTGGACTGAAATTTTCAATATATTCCCTTTTCATTATTTATATTTCAGCTATTCTAGCGAGAGCTGTCAGCTCTTTCTTAAAATCTTACATAATGTATCTTTAATTTTAGTTTTATTCTTAGTTTATGAAATAATTGGTTACCTATATCTCAATAAAGGCTTTTTCTAGACATAAAAGACAAAATGTCATTTAACAAAACAAGTTAACAAATAAAATCCAATCAATTCAAAGGGTCAAAGAAGTGTCTCTTAACCATTTATTCACCAGATGTTAGATTTTATATAGTGTTAGAGAATGTTTTTGTTAATTTTATAGATACAACTGCTGAAAAAGAAGAAGTACTAGATTATCCACCTAGTGTAAAACAATCTAGCAATGTTAAAATTACATTCTCAGATGAAGAATATTCCCTGAAGGTAAGTTGGTCATGTGAGCCAATGAGAACCGTGAGCCTGCAAGATTGTCATGGAAAGTGTGTACACATTGCTGTGCTCGTAAAAGAACCCTTAGCATTGCACATGTAAAAGTTGCAATATATAGATCTCAAAATGGCCAAAAGATTGTGTTGACAAGACATTAATCTTGGTTATATTCCGTATTTTTGCATGGTGTTGTGCAGCCATTAAGTATGACATCTGATCGATTAAGATTTGAGTGTTCATAATTGAATAAATCCAACACATAGCTGTGCAAAGTGGACGGACCTCTTTACAAATTCAATCTATAGTGTTTCTGTGAAGTTGGCAATAAGTTAGAAATTTGCATATATTCATTTCCACACTTTTTATACAGAAGACTAATGGTATAAATATGCCAATCATTTGTCAGACAGATACCAAATGCTCCACTGATGAAATAAGAATAGTTGAAGGTGAAACAGACACACCCGAAATAAACACAGGTATGTAGAGATAGCTAAACCATTAAATTTTAAACAAATTATTTTAAGCATTTTGAGATGTTTTTCTAAACTGGTTATTATAAGATTTGAGAATTTTAGCTATTCACTGGGAAGTAACTGTTTTCAGACTGTTTTTCTCAACATCTTCAATTGTGTATTGTTATTGTTATTTCAGAAGGCAGAAATACTGAAGATGATAAAAATATGAAAAACACAGATTTCTATCCTGAAATTGATGAGAAGAATATACCTGAACATCTGAAGTTAGGTTCCCAGTTAACATTTAGAGTGACAGTGTTACAAGCTACAGGAATATCACCAGAATATGCTGATATATTCTGTCAATTTAAGTAAGTTATTTTGTTATCAAGGATGATATATTCTATCTTTTCTTTAAAATTTTAGTAAACTTTTGATTTCTGTTTTTTAAATAAATGCATTAAGATGTAAATTAGTTACTGTTGGTTTTGTAACTGCATATCAACTAGAACTTTAAGATATTAATAATAACTGTTATAATTTTATACATTTTTTAGCTTCCTTCATCGTCACGATGAAGCTTTTTCAACAGAACCTTTACGTAACACAGGAAAAGGCCCTTCCCTTGGTTTTTATCATGTACAAAATGTAAGTTTTATTGAATTGATCATATACAACTTTGATGGATGGTTATTATTATACAGTCATCACCATCGTCTGTCGATATGACAATCATCCACAAATTCCAGTGAACACTTTACTGGGCAGAGTTCTTGATATATTAGGGATGGTATCAAAATATTTTTCAATCACAAATCGTGACATCTTCATATTTACTGTGATTGTTCATTGGGTCATCAGAAAGTACCCTGTCAGCATTATTTTGTGAACATGCTACAGAACAAAATTGTTGATGAAATATTTAAAACTTAGTGGGATTGTTCATTAGGATATGAAGATAAACCCTGTTTTATGTTAAGAGCACAAATGGCAGAGTTACTGGTACCATTCTAGTGTTGTGTTGGGGTGTTTTATCCTAGGATTGTCCTGGATTGGTTCTGTGTATAACAGTCCATCAAAACAAGCATCCATCTTGAAGTTCACCCAATCCCAGCATGCTCTAGGACTAAGGCCTTTTATTAACAAGGAGAACAACTCTATATACCATAATTCTTTTAAGAAGGCTTCAGACCACATTTACCTGATTAGTATTAATCTACTTTGTAAAAGTAGAATAGCGAGCAAGTAATAGGAGCCATATATGACACTAGGCATTTTTATGATTGAAGCAAGTGAACATGAGGAAGGACAAAGCTCTATATGGTTAAATTAAAACTACTGAAGTCCTGTAAACACGATTCAGTACAGAAGTCCTGTAAATTTGATAGAGGACAGCATTCTTGCAGGATTTTTATAAAGTAGAGCTAAAGTACAAGGGTTTGATGAATAAAATCCATTAATTTGTTATGAGTGAAATTAATTTCGACAAGCTATGTTTATTTTCTTCAGTTCACAGTTTCGGTAACAAAGTCATTTATTGACTATATTAAAAGCCAACCTCTAGTTTTTGAAGTATTTGGTCATTATCAACAACATCCTTTACATGATCAGGCTAAAGACACAATACCGTAAGTTTGATAGTTATCTTTATTGTATACCAACCAGGAAATATCATAAATGAGTTGAATTGGAATTAATTGAGATTTATTTTTGTAATTACCAATATTATGTGATGTATTTTTTGTTTGTCTTCAAATACTGAAAAAAAAATTATTTTTAGACATCGTCCGATTCAATCACAGAGTTTTCCATCAGCACTGCCAGTTTCTCAACCAGTTCCTTCACCTAAATATGGTATTATTTTTACTCCCAGGTTAGTACTTTTACACGTGTTCCTGATTTCTGAATGGATTCATTGTTTGGAAGGACCATTAAAATGTTTGTTCATCAGATTTATTTTTTTTTGTTTTTAGAAGATATAAAAAAAATATAAAAATATCATTTGTATGGTACAAAAAATCGAGGTTCAACTGTGTACACAATTTTGTTTTTATAAACAATATTTCATTCTCAGAAAAAAATGAACCCTTGACGGTTGAAATTTGAAGTAAAGTTGGCATAAACGTCACTGTCGGGCAAAATTCTCCCATTGCACATATAATCATAGATATTAGATTTACCATATGCTAGTCTCAAAATGACAAGTACTGTATTGACAAGACTATTATAAACCCCAATCCGTTCGATTTTATTTCTTGTAATATTTAAAACTGTTTGTTGATTATTTCTTTAGTTGCAGTCCGATACACGCTAGATATGATGTCTTGGTTTGGTTTGAAATTTGTGAATTGGCCCCCAGTGGAGAGTATGTATTATTCATTTATTCTTAAATTTATTTTTGATCTATGTCACTCAGAAACAAGCAAAATTTATTTGCGAAACCCAAAGTTCCTCACATAACTGACTGACATGTAAATTTGATTTTGGAAACATTTTGATTACCAAGGCAATGATGCTGGGCTGCCTTTTCCTCTGTGTAAAAAAGAAATACTTTCAAATTAGATCTTTATTTGGATATTTTTGGGTGAACTCTACAGAAATATCTGACTACTTCTTAGCCAGTCATCTGTTCTCTTTAAAGTCTGATTTCATCCACTGTGATTGGTTAAATGAATTGTTGCCATAGGAAAAGCATGTTTTCATTGGCTAAACGAGGGATGAAATCAGGTCAGTTGAACACAAACTTGATAAAGATAATGTTAGACTCTAATGTAATGTCAGTAATTAAAGATGATATTTGATTTATTGTAGTTATGTACCAGTTGTTGTAGATCATAGTGATGAGTTAGCATGTAGAGGTGTGTTTATGTTACATCAAGGTATTCAGAGACGTATTCGTATAACCATTGTACATGAAAATAATCTTGAAATACAGTGGAAGGAAATACAAGAACTAGTTCTTGGTAAGTTAAATAAATACACTTAAAGACAATTGCTATAACCGTTCAATGTCACCTGTCTCAGCGTTAAGCATACAGGACACATTGGCAAGCATGGGTAGTTCACCATATAGGAGCATTAAATCAACCAGATTTCAACCTCTCTGTCAGTTATATGCATTTAGTTAAACTAGACAAGTATTACATGTTGCTCTACTTCATTGGTTAAAATTCCAATTCTTGTAACATTATTTCACTCATTCAGATAACTTGAACACATTTTCTATGTTAAATAGACATTCATAATAATCAAATAACTATTTAGAACTGGACGAAAGTATCCAAAAAATAATGCAAAAATATTTGAAAATTGTTAGATATTTTTATTGTTTTTCATTATATAAATATTAATGTTATTTCTCTGGTAGGTCGGATTAGAACAGGTCCAGAGTTTCGAGATTATGATAGTGATAACAGTGTTTTGTCTCTTAGTCTGTTTCCAGCTCATTTCCTTCATTATTCCAACGATAAAAGGTAAGTAAAACGATTCAGTGTCAAAAGTTATGTAATAAAAATCATAGTAAAACAGTTAAAATTTGTAATATATTTTCAAAGGGTTACTATCCCTGCTATCAGAATCTAATAAACACTTTAGTTTTTCAAATTTGCTTGGGATTGTTTGGCTACTCATTATGAGGAAACCTATTGAAATTCAATTTAATGCTCATTATTTACCCTGACCATGGAAATTTGAAAGCCACTAGCCACCTTTCAAAATTATGCTGGTGGGCATATATTTGTTTTAATTTTTATGATTTCAGAGTATTTTTCCAGTTTGAGGCAGCTTGGGATAGCTCTCTCCATAACTCTCCTCTACTTAATCGTGTTACACAAAGTGGTGAACAAGTCTTTTTAACACTTTCAGCATATATAGGGGTTAGTATTGTACATTTTATTCACGGTTAAGTTTTCAAGTATAAACTTAGCGTATACATTTATTTAGCTCTTTTCAATTAGATCCATAAAATCTAATTTTTTTTAATGCCATCAAATTTTATTTGTAATTTTCAAATACCTAAAACAGCAATGCACCACAGATGACTAATACTCATTTTCCTTATTTAGATTTAACAATCCCATCTTGAACTTGATGTCTGTGGTTAAAAATTAAATATTGTTTATACAATAACTATCTTAAAAAAAAACCCAGAACAGTAGGACATTAAACCCCATTACATTTCATTTCAATTATCTTTTTAAAAAAAGATGGAGTCTTGAGCTCTAGAAACTTTAGCTGGTCATAATTTGCATTAGGGTTTTAGTATCTGAATAATATTTTAACCAATATGCTTTCAGTAGGTCTAATTTCTATTGTGCTTATCTGAAAGTATACATTTACCTTTTAAACTAGAATATTGTGCCTTACATGGTTTTATTTGCACGTTCATTTGAAGAACAATATAATCCAGTATTTCACTGAAGTTAAAAGTGATCAGTGTATTTTATGATTCCAGGTAGAGAATGGAGATCAACCAGCTTGTATAACTAAAGATTTATGTATGGTCATTCATTCCAGAGATACAAAAATATCAGCACCCAGGTAATAAGGGATTTTTTTTTTTTTCAGAAAATCCTGTTTGTGTTAAAGTTTATACAGTAATAAAACGCAGTTTATTGGCTTTCTTGAACGAATCATATAATTAACAATGCATATGTTTATTCATTGTTTTCAGAGCTTTAAAGAGTTTGTTTGGAGTATTAAAGAACCATGAAGCTAATAAAATTTCTGGAATCTATGAATTACTCCTTAGAAAATGCTCCGATTCTGGTAGCCCCGGTAAGTGTTCTTCAATTAAACAGATGCCAATAAAAAATTCATTATTTATATTAAGTAAATATACTGAATAAAAGGTGTTATTTGGTTTATTGTGAAACAATTTTGCCTAGATAATATCTTGTTATCAATATCAACAAATACAAATCAAAAATCTTTCCAGTGTTTACAAACATCATATAGTCACAACTCAGGGTTGATTGATTTGTATAATATTTGGACTAATCTCTCTTGATGTCTGTTTAATATTTATATACTGAAATGTAATGAAAACACAAAATTTTAAATAGGCTGAAAGATTGTTAAAGTGAATTCTGTAATTGTTGTTTTACTATATTGTTCAATAACCATACTATTTCTGTATATTCCAGGTGTCCAGAGACGACAAAGACGTGTATTAGATACGTCATCTACTTATGTACGAGGTGAAGAAAATCTGAATGGTTGGAGACCAAGAGGCGACTCATTACTAGTAGATCATCAGTGGGAGTTAGAAAAACTCACACGTTTAGAAATGGTATGTAAATATTTAATAGTGTCTTAATATTCGGTGTTAATCTTTATTCAAGTGCTGTTGAAATATTTGATTTTGGTGCATGTCATAGTGGACAAAAAAGAGAATAACGAATAGTAAAAAAATATGTTCTGATAGCCTTGAAAAACTATTTGATTTCAAATATTTGATCTAGTAACAAGTCATTTATTTTCTTTGAATAGCTGATACTGTTCATCAAAAATGAATGTGTACTGAAAAAAAACTTAGAAGAAATAGAAAAAGACAGCTAGGAAATCAGCCATAATTTAGAAAATTGAAAAATTGTTTCTGTGAAAAGCAAGTCTTGTACAGAAGATGAATGTAAGAGTATGTTATTTTATGAGCATTTACTGAATATATTCTGGTTTTGTTTTTTCATCAGGTAGAAAAATCTCGTCATGTTATACTGTTACGTGAAAAACTAGCTGAACAAAATAAAATAACCGAACTGAAACAACTAAATCATGATATTATAATGAACCAAGCTTCCTGTCAGAAACAACGTTACAATGGAGATGAAAAACACGATGAAAATCCTAAAGATATTGATATTAAGGTAAGGAGGCATCAAGTTCAATAAATTAGAGAGTGTGGCATGGAATTATGAAAGAAATTAACGTATTCAAAAAAATAAATATTACTAAAGACATTGACTTATACTATTTGTTTTGGCATTTTCAGGAAAAGAATCTAAATGTTGTATATGAGTTAAGAACAGAAGGTGATAAAGACAAAGAACTGGCTGCTAAATGCGTGCGTTTAATACTGCAGGGTAGAAGATCAAATAAATTATCAAACGTAAGAATTATTTATCTGTAATGATGTATTTGACAGTAGACCTACTCCATTAAAGTGTATTTCTTTACATTCAATTTAATACAATTAAATTACTTGCTGTCATAGTTTTGAATATTGCGTAGGGTCTACCCTACTGTAACTCAACTTTTGTTGTAAACCTGATATATGTTGGTCAAGTTAAAATTTATCTATTGTTGGTCCATTTCTTTTATTTTCTTTATGTACTTCAGTTTTATCTGGATGAATCTATGTATAGTACATCAACATGTAATTCTGATGAAAGTGTTCTCAGTACTGGCAGTGATATGATGAATGATTCCCGACTCGCCATGTAAGTGTCATAATGTAGTATTTTAATTTGTTAGAGTGTCAAACAATTTTAGCAATAAGGGCGATAATCCAGATAGAATCTCAGAAAACTTTTAAATAATAAAGTGTAGAGGGAGCAAACAGGAGCAAAGCCCAACAATGAGAATACTCGGCAGTATGAAGGACTAAAACTCTACTATAATAGTAAGTGCAGGAGGACTACACTACACGCTAACAAAATCTACAAGATAAACTTGCAGACAAGACAGAATATAGACATTGCAAAAAATAATTATCAGATCAAGTGAATGGATCCGCGGGGCAGCCATAAGCTTCCAATGTGCTGTACAGTGCTGTACAATCCTGGGCTTGTATGTTACTGTTTTTATACTGTTACTATGTAGTTTATACACTTACGTTACTATGCATTTCAAACACTTATATTACCATGCATTTTGTACACTAATATTATTTACCATGCATTTTTATACGCCCACATTTTCATGTGGACGTATTATGCCGTCGCCCCTGTCCGTCCGGACGTCCGTCCGTCCACAATTGTTTGTGGACTCTCTACAGGTCACAATTCTTATCCGATTTTGACGAAACTTGAAATATAGGTTAATCCCCAAAAGATCTCGGCTGCTTTCAATATTGGCATGTATCGGATCGAAACTTCATGGATTATGGCCCATGATTGTACGAAAAATCACGTTTTTAGCTTGTGGACCCTATAGAGGTCACAATTTTTATCCGATTTTTTTGAAACTTGAAATGTAAGTTTATAACCCATAGATCTCAGTTTCTTTCGATATTCGCGCATATCGGACTGTAACTTCCTGAATTATGGTCATAATTTTTATACAATTTAAAAAAAACGTCTTATTATATCACCGTTACACCCTAACGACGACTGAGTTCGAATTTCGTGAAAATCCGCCCAAAATTGGCAGACAAATTGGCCGCCGTTCGTTCTCAAATAGCGTAAGAATATGGTATATCAAGGTTGTGGACCCCATAGAGGTCACAATTTTTATCCCATTTTGGTGAAACTTGAAATGTAAGTTTATAACCCAAAGATCTCGGATCCTTTCGATATTCACGCATATCGGACCGTAACTTCCTGAATTATGGCCCCTGATTGTATGAAAAATCGAGTTTTTAGCTTGTGGACCCTATAGAGGTCATAATTTTTATCCGATTTAAAAAAACTTATTATTATATCACCGTTACACCCTAAGGACCCTAAAATTGACAGACAAAATGGCTGCCGTTCGTTCTCAAATAGCGTAAAAATATGGTATATTGCGCATATCGAATTGTAATTTCCTGAATTATGGCCCTTGATTGTAGGAAAAATCACTTTCTTGTTAGCTTGTTCTCTATCCATCTCTCAAAAATGTGGGCGTATCCTGCCTGGCAGCCGCTGGTTTAAATTTATATTACCATGGAGCTATGAAATCTGAACCAAAAACAATTTTAATATGACATATATTGTGTGTATTTTTTTACAGGTCTGTGAGTTCTCAACCTATTGGACAATCCAAGTCATATGACAGTATTACATCACCCCCTACACCAGATACAGGAGATCGTAAACTCTCCCTACCATTAAAAACTGCCCGACCTGATATAGATACCTCCATGTTTGTTGATATTGAAGAAATCAGACCAAGTCCTGTTGTGTCACGTCGTGGTTATCTCAATGTTCTTGAAGAAAAGACAAATGAGTGGATAAAGAAATGGGTGGTATGTTCTTTTCACTGGTAGCAATTAGAGGGCCTAGTATTATAAATATTCTAATTTCAATATTGGTACCATTACAAACCCAGACATCTTTATAGTGTTTTTTGTCAGAAAAATAAATAACAAGAATGGAATTATAATTAGTAACTATAACTTTTTATACAGCCACACTGAAATGTGGTTGTATATTGTCGTCTCGGTCATCCCCGCGTCCAGAGGCTAAATTTAATATCTGATTGACTTTAAATTTATACACAGTGTTTAAGGTCATTAGACGAAAAAGCATATTCATTTGCAGTGATTTCCAATAATTACTGCCAGAGTTATGGCCCTTGATCACTTTGAAAAATCTTGTGGATGCTCTAGAAGCTAAAGTTAATATCTGATTGACTTTAAATTTATATGCACTGTTTAAGGTCATGAGATGAAGAATCCTATTGATTTTCAACAATTTTCGATAATTACTGTCAGGTCAGAGTTATGGCCCTTGATTAGTTTGAAAAATCTTGTGGATGCTCTAGAGGCTAAAGTTAATATAAATTGTTTAAGGTCATAAGACAAACAATCGAAACAGATTCTAATTATTTCTGATAATTACTTCATGGGTTATTACTCGTAATCATATTTTCATGTGTTCTAAATGTTCCCATTACTGACAAAAGAAAAAATATGCAACAGCGACTTAGCTGCTGTGGGCGAATGCTTCGTTGTTTGACAACCTATCTTAGATGGGTAAGTGATGAGCATTTTAAAATGACTGTATAGAAGTGAAAAGGTTTTTCATAGTGTTGCGCCACTCCTGTGTACAACTAAAAATACTTCCTTTTCTAAAATTGGCAGTTCCACGTCTCTCTAATATTTGTTACTCTTTATTTTGTAGATTGTGAGACGCCCATATGTATATATGTACAATAATGAAAAGGACCCAGTGATTCGAGATATTATTAACCTAGCTACATCCCAGATTGAGTACAGTGAGGATCAACATGCAATACTTAAGGTAAGTTCATCTTATTTATATATTTTTATTTCAATGCCTATTCAGTGTCAGATTTATCTATATGCTTGGCAAGGTGAAGCCTAGGGCCTCTAGATCTAGGAGGCCTCGACCAAGGTGTATATTATTTTAGCACTCTTACAAGCCTTTCTTACATGCATTATCCGCCTCAGCTTTTCTCAATTGTGTTTAAAATACCCTTTCATCTTTCTCTAGTTGTGAGTGTAGGGGGAGGGGCCTCATAAGTGGAATAGCCTTAGGCTTTTCTTCATCTAAACTTGTCACTGTACCTATAATAATATAAAGTTGGGGTATTATAATTTTAGAAATTAGTTGCAACAAATGAAATGCTTTATAAGAACTGAAATATTTTCTATTTTCTAATATACCGGTACAAATTTCAATGAGGAAATTGATTAAATTTTACTATTGCTGAAATATTGTTTTTTGGGGCTGATGTAATGGTGTTTAATTTTTGTCTAAATTAATTTCAGACAATCAATGCCTTCTCTGTGATAACACGGCATCGTGGATTCTTGTTGCAATCTGTGGATGATAAAGAGTTCCATGACTGGCTTTATGCCATTAATCCATTATTGGCTGGTCAAATCAGGTAATTCATTATAATATGTTTAGATTGATCAATATAAATTATATAAATGAGTCCTATTTATTGTGGAACTGTCCCAATTATAGCTTCATTATTCTGAGACAAGGATGAAGGTTGAATCCTATTAAATAGTTTAGAGCTGAATCATTATTTGATTGATCATTTGAAAAGTCAATTAATACTTCAGTTAACCATCTTAATTTGACATACATTATAGTATGAGTTGTTGAGCAAGGCTTTTCTTTATTATCTCTTTATTGTCGGTGGGCGTGGAACATATATTGAACAACCCAGCAGACTTTTGTAGAAAAAGAAATTAATAGTTTGAGGGGAAGAGACAACACACCAGTTACATATTTAAAGATTTACTTCAATAATTTAAATTAAACCTTAATAATTTGTTGACCATAAAAATTATCATATGAATATTTCAGATCAAAACTATCCAGAAGAAAACAAGCATTACCAATCTGAACTGAAGTTAAATACAAACTGAACTAAAAACAAAAACTTTATCAAAATATCACCTAAGAACTATTTCCCATTTGATCATGGTATATCATTATAGAAGATATATATTGTGTATGCTCATATAGTAAACAGTGTATATCTACCTTCACTAATAATATAAGTATAATATTCTATATATATAAATATGCCATTAGACAGGTCTGTTGTAAGGCTTATTGTTGCCATCATACAGTGTATGTATGTGTGTTTATGTGCAATAGTTTTATGGACAGCATTTCGTTGTGTAGTATCATTTAATATATCATATCATATAGCTGGTTCTATTGTGCTGTCTGGGATTTCAAATCTTTTCTCTAATTAAAAGTGGGAAAAGGTGAAATATTTGGTCAAAATTGTGCATATGGTTAACAGACTTAGTGATTTTTTGAAATTGCGAAAATGAATTAGAATTATATTTAATTATGGCTCAATCAAATTTGTTAATCAAATCAATTGTTCATTAGAGAATTTAGAAAAATGAAAGCGTGACATACAATTCCGTATTGGGGCCTATGAGCTCCTGATCTTTGAACATATGCATGATTATAAGACTTAGTAAGGTTTATTGGAACTATGGTTAAAAGTAAAGCTCAATAATATCTAGTCTTTTAAACACAGATGTCTGGCATCATTAAGGCTGTTTTGAAGAAGACTTAGTCCAAGCAGTGAGACTTAGTCAAAGCAGCATGAGTTATCATTTTATCATCTACCTCCATCTAGCAAAATGAACCAGCTATTTGACATAAAATTCAAGTGTATATGTATATTAGTGCAATATTTTTTGCCACCAATAAAATGAATTCCATGTATGTTATGTTATGAATTCTGTATATTTAAGTTAACTTAAGATATAAGCCCATCTTTAAGGAACCTTGTTATATATTTTATCCTCTAAGTTATTGTGCAGTTAGTTGTTTATGATTGTATAGTAGCTATATATAGTTGTTTTGTTATTTTAAATTGTTATTGTGATATTTATTATTATCATCTTAACGTTGAGATAATGATCAATTGTCTTTTCACAAAGCCAAGTAAGATGATTATAAATGCTTTAATTTTGACTTATCATCGAGTTTTATTATTTTGGTGAAATTTATGTTACCAAAAAGACATGCATTTAAGCAAAGTTTCATAATATAATCAGTATATGCTTAATTATTACTAGAAAAGTTACTGTTGGTTTTAATTTAATTAAGACTAGATCGATCATGATGTAATCATAATTGAAATCCTGAGCAGTGTCAAGAGACAAAGTAATATATGGTTGTGTTAATAGAATTTTGTAACAAGTTATAATTTGATTGATAATAACTCTTGCTTTGTTGTGAACTCCTGTGATTTTGTACTTCATCACAATAAACTATCAGATTGTTAATAGATAACTATGGTTTATTTGGAGATAAACATTGTTATAGAATTCTCTTAAAATAATCAATTTTAACATTGTTATTATATTTCATTAATCAATGGATTAATAAAACTGTTTTAATTTGGAGAATTTAACAGTTTGGGATTGTAACAATTCATATAGTATCAGTAGAATGATAAAATTACTTTTTAGTACAAGAACTTGACAGTGTTGGGAGAGCTTTACAGTGCTGGAATATAGTTAAATTCTATAACAAAGTAACAAGTCACCAGTTACTTGATAAAACTATGGTATAGTTGGAGAACTTTACCATGCTGGAACATTTTATAACAAAGTAACAAATTATCAATTGATTGATGAAACTACTATTTAATAAGAAAGCTTTACAGTGTTGTAGTATTGTGATTTGATTTTATAGCAGTGTCAGTAATATTTTATATTATCAGTTGATTGATAAAACTGCTGTTTAGTTGTTATTATCATAACATACTGTCAGTTGATTGATAATACTCCAAAGGGGTTTGCAACATTGGATGATTCTTATGAAATTGGATAGCAGTCATAATTGTTATGAAATTTAAAAAATTACAACTATCAATTATTTTTGATAATAATATACTTGTCAGACAGGCCATCCTCGGATATTAAAAACAGAATTTTCTTGTAATTTTCACATATTGCCATAATTTGTCAATTAAGAGATTGAAAGGCCTGATTTGTAGTTTTGATTTGATGTTATGGTATACTTATCTAAAAGATTGATGTCAGATTTCTGGGCAGGGGCGCAATTTCAGTGCTTGCTGAAGGCACTATTTTCGTTATTGCCGAAACATTGTTGTTGAATTTTTTGTTATTGAATTTTATAACAAAGTAACAAATGGTCAATTGATTGATACAACTACTGTTTAGTTGGAGAGCTTTACAGTGTTGGGTCTAGCTTTACAGTGCTGGAACATTGTTATTGAATTTTATAACAAAGAAACAAAAATTTTATTATTGCATTTTATAACAAATTATCAATTGATTGATACAACTACTGTTTAGTTGGAGAGCTTTACATTGTTGAGACTTTATTACCGAACTTCATAACAATTATAGTTGGATAGCTTTACAGTGCTGGAATATTGTTATTGAATTTATAACAAAGCAACAAATTATCAATTCAATTCATTGATAAGACTAAAGTTTAGATTGAGAGCTTTACAGTGTTGGAACTTTGTTATTGAACTTTATAACAATGTAACCATAATAGTTTGAGAACTTTAATATGTTACAACAATGTTATTGAATTTTATAACAAAGTAACAAATTACCAATTGCTTGGTAAAATTACCTTGTATTTGAGAAACTTCCCAATGCTGGACCTATATTATTGAATTTCATAACATTTAAAAATTACCAATTGATTGATTGAACGATTAATAAAACTACTGTTGGAGAGCTTTACAGTGTTGAAATGCTGTTGAATTTTATGAAAAATTAACAAATACTTGTTTAGATAGAAAACTAGATAAGAGTTGAAATAATGGAAAGTAACCAATTATCAATTAATTAATTGAACAATTACTGTTTAGTTGGAGAGCTTTACAGTGTTGGGACATTATTATTGAGTTTCATTATACTCTTAACAGTTTATGTAATTAAATATTTTAGGTAAACTAGAAAAACATTTAGAAGAAAGAAAAAATGTTTGAATAATGTACTAGATTTATTGGTTAAAGTTCAACTGTTCTTCCAGTTACATTTTGAGAAGTGTTTTTAAGAAATATTTTGTACTTAAAGCTAATATGAACCATAGGAGATTGTTTTTGTGTTTAAACTACAATTGTTATATAATTCTGTTAAGATCTTTATATGAATCAAAATACCGCTATGTGAAAAAATGTAAAAAGGGCCGGTAGTGAATTATGTTGAGTGACGTTTTTTAAAACAGAATGAACTTTGCTCACAGTCTTGTGTATTGGAAACAAAGTGTAGCCATTGTTTTTGTATTTTTTAAAGCGCATTAAAAAACAATTGGCTTTTTAGCTGACTATGTGATGTGAGTTTTCTAAGAATATTATGCATATACAAGTAAATAACGTCCAGATAATTGGAGCTTTGAAATGGTAGCCATTATTGTAACTGTAACATTTATCAAAATTAAAATAGTAGGCTCAATCTGGTATTACATTTAATCCTTAGTGCATCATGAAATATACATATTCATGGAATAAAAAAAATATAATATAAATATGATATACTTATGGCATGCCTATTCAAAAATAAAATTATGTATTTTAGATTTTCTGACTAAAATCTGTTTAAATTAAGTATTCAAAGTTAAAGAAACTGTAGCATGCAAGTAATCAACAAAAATAAAGCAAGCCCATGACATTATACTCAGTACTTATAGGAACAATATTATTATGCATAATTCTGTATGTTCTCAGTTAAAATCATGCTTTATTGCTCTTTGTTAAACAATGCAACAATGTCTGTACATGTATTAACATGGCGAATAAATTTTTGTCTCTTTGAAATAAGCATTTGTTAAACAGTTTAAGTCTTAATGATATTTCAAGATGACCATTGGACACTGCCTGAAACAGATTCACTCTCTGTCTATGCTTTTATCTGCAAAGTAATAATGTAGCCTAAATAGACCTCCAGCCCTGACCAGGATGCCATATTAACTTGAATAAAGATAAAATTGACCCCAAGATTACTTGTTCCAAACTTCTGTGATAAAAAAATAGAAGTACAATTAATCTGAGGAAGAAATATGTTTTTCAGTGGAAACAGATAAATCTGGTTTACATTAAAACAACTGGGCAGTATTATAGAATACAGACTGGTGTCATTTCAGGACTAACATATGGTATATTTTTATTTCAATAATTCGCTTGCACAAAGAGGTCATTAGCAGAAAGAGGAAACCTGGGAAAACTCATGATGTTAGGCAGGCGACCCTGATCCATGTGACATATGAAATTGGGAAAAATTCACTCCACTTGACTCATTGACAAACTCATTCAGCCACCCAAGTGGGTGACCCAACCCCCACGATTCAAACAGCAGTACACATATCAAAGAGAAATGAACAATTGTTTTGACATCAAACAATGAAATGAAATGAAATGGGGTTTAACGTCCTACTGTTCTGCTCCTAACCTGGGCTAATGAAGACGGGCATACGCCATACAGTGTGCTATGAGGGAAATTTTGCCCAGGCAGCAGCGTTAAGGCCTACTCTTATATCGAATCCCAACTGCCAAGGGATCTTTTACGTGCACGCCAATGTGTACACAGGACCTTGGTTTTCCGTCCCATCCGAACGACTAGACAGCTGTCCTTGTCAGGCCCTCCGTCCTGCATCACTGACAAGGGGGCAAACCACGCCTGATTCAAACAATGAGCCTTGATTACAATTTGAGCTACTGGGGATTTAACACCTCTATAGAAAAATGAATAGCACTATTGTGGACTGGAATTTATATGTTACCTATCTGCCTTTGGCAGGACCACTGAAGAAATTGTGTGAAATCGATTTATTTAATGTCCACTCCCACTGAGATGATATTGCAGAAAAATTTCAACAAATGGTAGATAATATACTGATTTGATTCTATGAAAATGCTCAGTACACTGGATAAAGAGTTGGAGTATTCTAAATGGTAAAAACTAATCATAATCTTCCCAGAAAACAACCAGGGGCCCCTTTATGTTTTATTAACAATTTTATTATTGACTGCATTTTTGTGAGTGAGATGGACGATGACCAAAATATGTCCCTTATTTCACTGATATTTTAACCAGGGGCCCCATACAAGCTTAATCATGGCAATCAAATAATACAAAAAAAAATCAAGGAAACGTCTTTATTAACATTGAAAATACAACTTTATAAATATAGTAAAACAATACCGTCTAAGGTAATAACGTGCAAATATATATTAATATATTAAAGCCTTCATAATTATAATCAAACAGTTGAAAGCATAACAAGGAATCTTAACAAGTATTTAGACAATTCTTTTAGTAATAGTATAAATAATAAAATATCGTAATGCATGTAATTCACTTAACAGCAAATATTATTTAATGTTTCAACATGGAATGGTAATGACTTAATTTTACAGTAATTAAAAAATATTTAGGTCTTTTCTATAAAGTCTGGAAAAGACCCACAGATTTGTAGACGGATCAGGGTTAATTGTTACAAAAATATCATGTCTGCTTTAAAGGTTTGTTTGGTTTATATAATAAGCTTAGGTCTATATTTTCACTGATTCCATAATATAATCACAGTTTTTGGGTGACACTCCTGTTCTCTTTAACTCAATATTATCTTAATATTCAAAATTAAATTAGAATTCAATATTGGTTCATTTCTATCAAAATCGATGTTGTTATCTTGCCATAAAAATATGGGATCCAATATTTAAGACACAGGGAACATTTTAAAATCAGTACAGAAATTTAAGTACTCTATGGACATAATGATTTCTAGTGTCATTTGTAATGAACAAAGAAAAACATATCCAAGAAGACAATTTGGAATTAATTGAAAATGGCTGATTCACAAACAACAATATAATGGACTAAGCAGGTACAAAGGACTGTCATTCAATTTGCACTGTTTAAGTATTTCATAAGTTATTTCATAACTGATTAGAAATTACAATATTTAAAAAGTGAATGTAAATCACTTAATATACATGTACTCTCATATTACATTAATATACACTTTTAGACCCATTTTCGTATTTTTTAAGGGTCCAAAGAAAAAAAGTTATGCACCCTCTAAATATGACATCAATGTTAACAGTTCAGACCTAGGCATATCCATCAGTATACTTATTGTTCATTGCTTGTTTTACTGCTACCTGATAAAAGCAATAGGAAAGTTATATATCACAGGTTACTTCTAATGATGTAAAATACATACATAAAATATACAATAAGTTAAACAACATTTTGTGCAATGACTAGATTTGTACAATATCCATTTACAGTAGAAAATACTCTATTAAACAGTTTGTGCTATTCTTTTAAAATAAAGAAAAACATTTTTTTTGTTAAAAACATTTGTTTGTTAAAATAGATAATTAATTTAAAATCGGAATAGGTTTTCAAAAATATTAAGTATAACAGTTAGCTCGAAAAAAAAATAGGCACATAATACACAAACTGGTTAATTAAAAGGCACAAAAGTATCTATATAGATGTTGATAAAATTATACAAAACTAACGAAATGATGGATTAAAATATTAATCTACATATTTCAGTGAATTAATTAAGTTTTTTATCATTAATATGAACTACGATTTGTTAAAGACCACTGGAACAAGGCTGCATCATTTCCACCACTGGCTACAACACATCTGTCAGATGTAGCAAAGGTAACAGCTGTCACATTATTAGAATAGACCTTCAGATTTCTGAACAACGACTGGAATAAAATAAAATTCTACATATAAACATCCTTGATAGTTGGCTTCACAGAATAACTTTAACAATCACCAAAACTGGCCTAAATACCTGCTATATCTTCAACACAATACCTTGGTCATTTTGAGACAAAACATATGGTCATTTCTATTTCTATATGAGGAGAATTTTGCCTGGACAGTGGACTTTCTCCTACTGTTCTTTGATTAGCAACTGCTAAGGATTCTTTGAAGTGGACACCACCTTCTGAGTGACCTGGTCAACCATAGGAACCACCCCTGACAAGTGGAGGTTCTTCTGGATCTGCTATTGGGGGTGCAACTTGGTTGACTCAGTATCACTCAATCCTTATAGTGTTGCTAGACGTGTGCAATTTCAGACTCAGGCTGGCTTTACGGGTATGCATTGAGATTATGTGAGATTCAAGGTATCTCTGTGTGAAATGAAACTCAAAGTTGCCATTAAAGATCAAACCCAATTAATAACTTTGATTATAATTATAGTAATTCTTTGAAACTTATAATGACCAAACTAAAAGCTTGTGTCCAATGACAACAAGTTGTTAAGCTTTTATAAACTTACCGATGGTCTTGAACTGGGATATTTGTAGAGACGTATTCTCCCTCTGTTGTCACCACATACAAGATATTCTCTTGAGTCTGAACGTGCAGCCACATTTATAACTTCATTACCTTCCAGATTACTCCATGGACCTACACAAGAAATTGAAAAAAGAGTACTAAATTATAATTATTGCTGTACACATTTTCAAACTTTGGTTTAAACAGTATTTTATTTCTTAGTGAGTCTCAAAATTTAGAGATTTGTAAGCAGATTTCAAGGAAGAGACATTTCAATTCGTAAACGTCTCATATTAGTGGTTGATGTATCACAATTTACCATACCTTGAGCAACTGACCAGTTTATGAATAGAGATACAAACTGAATCACAGTGCAGCACCTGAACGACAATACAATAAATAGCATTGTGATTGGAGCCGCAATACCAAGTAGTACTTTAAATAATAACAATCATAATTTTCAACAGTCAGTTTGACTGCTCTGTGGCACTATATAATAACAATTAAATATATTTTAGATTTACAATTAATTTATGATGTAAATTACCTATTAATGAGTGACCAACACTACATGTTTGAGTAAACCAATCAACATCTCTCATTGTCCGTGCATTTTTCACTTTCTGCATGTTTTCAATGTCCCCTTAAATATAAATATATTTTAATTATCTACTGTAAGTTTTGTTTTCAAGAGTCACTAGTGGTCACATTTGAGACTTACTGATTTTAAATTTCAAATTCCTAGTTTTATTGCTACTACCATCTCTTCTACACTCTACATTGGTTATTTTGAGACTAACATCTGGTAATTTCATAGTTACATGTGCTATGTGAGGAAAAGAATTTTGCCTGGACAGCCACACATGGTGTAACATTCTTTTATTTAAACAGAAGCAAGCTATGAAACTTCACCAGCTCCCTTCATTGCACACATCACCCCAGAAGAAGAAATAATTACTGACAATAAATATGCCTTTATATACTTACAATATACTAGTTCATAGTTTTCAAGAACCGTTTGTAGATAACGGTTATCACATGACCAATCGATCTGACTCACAAATGCAACGCTATTCTGTGAAAAAAAAACCAACAAATGTTTATTCTAATATAAACATGCCCCACTGAAAGTTAACACTTACAATAGTGTAATATTGTTGGAATTGTCATGAAAACGCATTAGATGTTGCCATTAAGACTTAAGAGTTATGTTATACATAACTCTTGACTTGAATCAAATGCCAAGTGTTTATTGTGCCCTGACGACAGTCGCTTAATCATAAACCAAGTGTATGTCATGTCACCTAATTGAAATATAAGTGTATGTTATGCCGTCTAGGTACATCACCTACTTGAAAACTAATAGTATAATATACTAAGCAGCAAAAGGAACGTCAGGTTGGTATGGTACTCTGAATAGACGCCTTGCATAAAACTTGCCAAATGTTTTTATTGTATATTTGTGACCACATCTCCAACTTTCCCTGAGTAATAAGGCTCCTTCCCAAACACAGAATTTAACCCAGGAAATGTTCTCAAAAATGCAATCTGACTTTTGAGATGGTAATGTGTTCTCCATGATTTTCATGTAATTCATGCTGCACGTGTGGTGCACTGGGACCAGCCCTATACAATGCACCCCCATACCTGGTTGAATCATTCACACTACATCGTCAACAGTATGCCACAACTCACGACAGCTCAGAGGAACCAGGCGCTTGGAAGACTCGATGCTGGCCACACTGCCCAAGCCGTTGCCAATCACTTCCAGGTCAATTTTCGGACCATCTACAGGCTTCAGCAACGCTTTTGGGCCACCAACACCACGGATGATCGACCCCGAACTGGTACACCAAGGGTTACCACAAGGCCACAAGACCGCCATGTTGTGCGACAGCACGTGCAGAATCCCTTCACACAGGCATCCGAGACAGCATGTCAGACAGTGGGAACACACGACAGACCCATCAGTACCGAAACAGTGAGCCGCATCACACCAGAAAGAACATCCATTGACGTGGACCGATTCTCACCCCCGCCATCGACGTGAACGTCTACAGTTTGCCCAACAACACCAGAACTGGCGACACAGGCAATGGAGAACTGTTCTGTCCACAGATGAGAGTCGGTATTGCGTATCAACTGCAAATGGCAGGACCAGAATATGGTGTCGACTTGGTCAGCCTTATTCTGACCAATGTGTCATGGGGAGGTCCAACCATAATGGTTTGGGGGTGGAATCGGCCTGAACCAGAGGGTGGGTCCTGTGGTGTTCCAAAATCTTGGTCCAGGGAGAGGATGCGACATCACAGCAGTCTGCTACATTGACCAAGCTCTCAGACCCTACGTCATACCACATTTCACACATCATTGAACCAACATTTTCCAACATGACAACGCCCATGTCCACACCGCCAGAGTTACTCGGGACTTTCTACAGCAGAACAGTGTCAACGTTATGCACTAGCCAGCCCTTATTCCGGACTTAAACATGATTGAAGATCTTTGGGATAAAATTCAGAGGAAACTTAATAACGTCGTGCCAAGACCAAACACAGCCGATGGATTGCGCCAGGCTCTTCTGAGAGTGTGGTTCCAGGTGCCAATGGCGTTCATCAATCGTCTGGTCCACTCCATGTACAGACACTGCACACACTGCTGTTATTGACACTCGCAATGGACACACGATGTATAGACTGTGTACAGACTCTAAACTTTCTCGTAATGTCTTGGAATTGTGACGAATTAATCACTAATGTGTCAACATACTGTTCACAATAAGTTGCTTTGATCCATTTAGTAATTCGTTTTCTAGAATGATTTGATTAAAGTGCCTCTATGATTTTGAAATCGTACTGTCGGGTTTTTTTTGGGTTTTTTTTTTGCTGTTTAGTATACAAGACAAAGTGCATGGTAAACCACTGAGGATTGTCATCTAATTGAGAACTAACAATAAAAATACATTTACCTAGCTGACCATTAACAGTATAATATGTATGTCACTGAGGAATGTCACCTTTTTTAAAACTAAGCTTACATTATGTCACAGAGGCCAAAGCTAAATATTATGACTCTGAGCTGTTCGCCAAGTGAAATCTGTGCGTATATTATGTCACTGGAGACTGTCACATAATCCAAACTAAGATATTATGTCATTGAAGATGATCACCTAACCCAAACTAAGTGTATATTATGCCTCAGAAAACAGTCACCTAAAAAGAAAAAACTAATTGTATACAATGTCCAGAATGGAACATTAAATCATTTGTATCTCAACATAAGTTTTATCTATTGTCAGAATATTTTCAATGAAGACATGTAATCCCACAAAACTAAAGAACAAAAAAAATCCAATGAAGTTAAAAAAAACAACATTTCTTCAACCAAAATAAGGTTTAGCCTTACGAATTGTAGTAAGATGATGCTGGACCTACCTTTAGAGCTGCTGAGTGTGTTTTAAAGAACTGACCAGCACTGTTGATTGTAAAAACATGTATAAAACCATCATATCCACCAATAGCCAACATATTGCTGTCTGTAAATAAATCATATTTATCATCAGAACTTATTTATGTGGTAGAAACCTTGCAATACTAATCTAGATTCATGTATGTACGTCACATATAGTTTACAGTGTGGATTTTATATTCAGTTATCTCACATCCTCTGTACCCCCAGTTGTATCGATCTGCTCCACTAACCCCTAGGTACATCCATGGGGTATTCATGAATTCAAATTATCTGCCCATGATGATTTCACTGGCCACGTAGGTTGATTCTACGAACCAATCAAAAAACAGTTTACATACCAGTGTAGGTGTCCTGGTTTATGCTCAATCATGATAAAAAATTTGCAAGAAATTTAACATCAAAGAAGTGACATACACACAAAAAGATGTCCAAAAATATTTTGACAAAGTTTACAACATCGATTCGGTGATCTTATTTGCAAAAATAATTTGCAGATAATTTGAGTGTCTCCTCCGTGAATGAACCCAGGGGACACCCAGGATGGTTGTCTCACTATCATATGACTAATTCTATTTACTATGATTATGTGTATGTAGCAAGCAGGGATGTAAATATGCCGTGTGTGATTGTTCATATGTCTAGGGACGCCTAGATTGTTCTGTCCTCTGTGCTGTGTCGAGTTGATTTGGTCGCGAGGAATTCCCTCTGGCTCATTCTTGTGACTTCAATATTTGGAGTTAGTATACATCAATGACTATTATTACCTGGACTGAAGTTCACAGCATTTATTTGGGCTTTACCAACTTGTGTAGTTGTGACTTGTGAACCATCCTCAGCTTTTAGAATAAGCAGGCGGCCATTACTGGTACCAACAGCTACTAGAATACCTTTTGGGCAAACAGCCACAGATACACATGGTGTCTACAAAAAATATTAAATACTCAGAAACCATTGGGTAAAAATGTATGTGCTGCTGAAGGTCAGACATAAAATATAAATACACTTTATTTTAATTGAAACAATGATTAGCTGCTCAACACTAGACATTCAATAGGCCCCAAAACACAGAATAGAATGGAGATAATGCCTCATGAACACAATTCTTCATTCATTCTATTGGTTAAAAATAATCAGTATAACTTTCCTGAAAATTGTAAGTAATCAATACCCATAGAAGTTCGACAGGGTGAAGTATATTTTTGTTAATAAAAGGAAGAAAAGACTACTTACATCACTTTGTACTCGCCACATAATAGCATGTGAGACAGTTGACCATTTCATTACAAGTTGATCATGACCTGCGGTAATAAACGAGGCTTCATTCGGAACACTTGCAATAGCCCAGATTTCTTCACTATTACCCTGATTGTAGAAAAAAACCCAGCATGATTATATTTTACTTAATAATGACTTAATTAATACAAGGTATTATATTTTATATATATTTATTAACATGTCTTATTTAATACAGTTTAATCAAATTTTACTAATACACATTCTCAAGAATCTCACTGCATTATATTCACCCTTTCTAGAACACATGATACCACTTAAAAGACCGCTAGCTTACAAGACCGCTAGCCAAGAACATCATCCTTTTTTTGCATGTTCAAAGAACCCAAGAAAGTTTACAGAAAACAAAATCATAAAATCCCCTTACCTGTATTACAAATCTAAACTTATGCTGCATGGAACCCTCCAGAATACATGATTTCGTTGTAGCTATTAAAAGATTGCCATCCTGACCACCATTGTTGCGTGGTACAATAGCTCTTACATTACCAGCTACTTCAGGTAACTAAAACATTACAAATATAATTCAGAATACAACATATTTTGATGTAATTTGTTAATATTGAAGGAAACAGAAACTTTTTGACAACAACCTCTTGTGACCCAATCCGGCGGCTGTAAATACCAACCAAAAATGTGCGACTAGTCAAATTTAGAAAGAGAAAGATGATGTTGGTATTCAATGTTTCCAAAATTTACATATTCGTTGACATTTGGTTATAAGGCATAAATGTATTGATATAAGAACTGCACTGTCCATATGAAATTGTATGGTGCCAACCAAATTTAGTATTAATGATCGTAATATTCAAACAATAATACTAATTATAGATATTTCATGATATAAATCCAATACATATAGATAATTTACCATTCTAACTTTGACTTGTCTGAAATCGCCCATTGGATCCCAGGCTTTTAATTCATTACCACCACCTGACAGTAGAGGTCCATAATCCATCATAAATAGAGAATTCACTGATTTCTACAAAATATCATTTAATTAAAAAAATATATTTTAATCAAGAGGCACTTGAAAAGCACAACAAATGAAAAGCACAGATGTTTACATCTTTTTACTCCCGAGACAATCTCAACATTTTAAATTTATTCTAAGCACAAAAATACGTTTTAAGATTCAAACTCTTTAAACTGCATCTTGAATTTAAAGGATTTTTAACATAAACATATTTTGCCCCATTTTCATGTTCTAAATGCCATTCAAAATTGATTTGCAGCAATCTCGTTACAAGTGAATTGAAAATTATGGTATTTTGGCTGTACTTGGGGTAATTTCTGTGGTGTGATATTTCACATCTATAAAAGAAGAAAAAATGAAAATAAAAAGCCTATTCCAGGTCGCTATTCATCGTTTCTAAATCTTTGATCAGGACAGTTGGATATCGGTCAAAACTTCAGTAAAAATGGCTAATTATCGGCAAATACAGATGTGCTTTGATAAAATAATAATCAGCCGATACCAATGTTTAAACAAATAATCTACAAATGTGTCAATTAAAATATGATATAATACAACATATAGTTACCCTGTGTGCATTTTTCATTTTATCTGATAGATTTCGGTTAAATTTAAAGCTTTCATCAGACTGTTTTTCCCATACAACTATAGAGCCATCAGAATCTCCTGTTAAAACATCACCAGTTGGAGTAAAACATATAGATGTTACAAGTTTGGGTGCTCCATCCTGTAAAATTCAATGGTCAGACAATTTATAATATACTGACAACCTTCAAAGACTTGAACAATCCCAGAAAATTTGAACAAAAAATCTAAAAAACATTTACAAGAAAAGTGGTCCGATGGTCAGGTAGATAGACTGGGGTACGGCCAATATATAATCATAATTATTCTAGTTTTAACTAGAGTGACTTCTGAAAACTTTAACAAATGATGACAACGATCAACTGCCCTTGACATTGAACTGTCCATACTGTTAGCTGGAGAATTCAAACTCTTTCCTGAAAAGCATGTGTAAGTACGAGCAAGAGTGAACAGATATATGTGCAATATAGCTATAGTTTCCTTTCGATATCAGTAGGCCAGTGGTTAAGCTAATCCAACCCATCCAATCCGCCAAAAACCTAGCCATAGTGATTAAGTTTTTTAATCTCTTACCTCAAATTTCCCACTTAGCTTATCTTTGAGAATTCTATAGACATCTTCATTTTCATCTTGTTTCCAGAATAGTTTCCAGAAAAATACATGTTCTTTACCATATGTAATAATAATTTGATCATTATCAGGATAGAAACTACCCGATGTTACTGTGTTTGGTGTGGTCTGCAAATAATCATTTATCCCAGTTCATATATGTATAAAGAAATAAGTCAAGGACGTCCTGTATTGCCAGGTTTGGCATTGAAACCCTCTAATATAACCTCCAAAAAACAAATGTGGTTTCCTAGAATACATCTTTGACAATAAGAAAACATGTTTGTCCTGCTTTCAGATTTTAATCATGATTCTGAAAAGAATTCCAAGATGCTGTATTTGAGCCAAAAACGGAGTCGCAAATGGACTAATGAAGGCATGCACGCATACACTATTGAGTGTGCATTGAGGATAATTTTCTCGGACAGTGACACTACAACCAACTCTTATTTCGAATTCCAACTGTCAAGATGCACGCCATTGTGTACACAAGACCTTGGTTTTTTTTCCATCCCATCCAAATGACTAGAAACTATTTCTTGCCAGTTCCTCCATCCTGCATCACTGACAAAGGGAAATTTGACAAAGAATAAAGATAAATAACGAAAGCAGTATAATTGAATACTATTACAATGAAATATTCCTGTAAACTTACTGTAGTCCAAGCAAGTCGCTTAGCTCGGGGTTCTTCATATCGGAGCTGGTCATATCGGAGCTGTTCATATCGGGGTTGTTCATCGGGGTATAAATCCCAGACACTAAGAACATGTTTATCACTGTCATCAATAGCCATCAACAATGCTCCTTTACTCTACAAATAAGGTTTATAATAAATGTAAGTAGATCAATATATTTCCAACTAATTTATATAGTGTTCTAAAATAAATGTTTCAGCCTGTCTTTATAGCTTGTAAGTTACCTCAGTTAACTAGATACATTAACAAATCACTCAATAAGAATAAGAATGAAAAATCTTCAACACCATGTTTTCATTGTGCTATATATGGGGCTCTCACAATCAGGCTGATAGCTAAGAGGGTATGGGCTGTAAATACACATCAAAAATACCATACACCCATTCATCTACGTCATTACAGGGGTTGTTCCTTAGATAATTCTGAATTTTCGATTGCAAATTGAGGTGTTCTCCAAAATTTATATACTGACTACTAAAGCTTATGATTGAATTTTTATCTCAAAACTACATGCATTGCTGCAAACCCCCCACATAATGTATCTATACTTTGATACTATCAAATTAAAATGAAAATATTCCTGAACAAAAAAAACCCCTCATCTACTTACCTGAGCTGAGAAAGCCACAGTAATAACAGTTCCATTAAAAAAGTCATAACCAATAGCGTCAATATCACTCAATGTTATACCATTCCAGATACGTACGTGTGGCTGCAATAATATACCTCAAGTTAGCAATGCAAAGTGTGGAAATAGGCACACCTTGAAGCTGTTTCTACGTTAGCTTATCCGAAAGATAAGGCGTGCCTTTAAAAAAATCTGATCTGTCATCTTTACATGCTCAAACAAAACTGTTAAAAGCTGCAAAACACTAAATATTGATATGGTTCATCCTCTCATGGCCCCAATGATTCCCACTAAATTTGAAAAGAATCTGTTAAAAACTATAGCCCCCACCATGTTCACAAGATTTAGAGAAAAGTGGGCATAACTCTGGTATGGAAAGTCACGGAATATTTGATATTGATAGGGTTTGTCCTCTAATGATCTGTCAAAAACTGTAGCCTTTATCCTATTCACAAGCAAATTGTTGACGGACCCACAGACAGGGTGAAGACTATGTCCAAACTATGTGTGGGCGTATAAAAGGTATAAATATTGTTGTTACAATTGTTCTGTTTGTTTGTTTCTTATGAAAGGTAAATTATTATCTGAATTTTAATATTCTACTCAAGTTCATTCTGAATAAAAAATACCCTTGAATTTTTCGATAATTTATCTACATTTTCCATGAAAAGTTATATAATATATTATGTTGTTAGTTTAGTCACTTTGAAAATCATGAAAACATTTCTGATATAGTCAATGTAAATCATAAAAAATTGTGATACAGTCACTGTGATAATCATGAAAAGGTTTGTGATGTAGTCACTGTGATAATCAGTGAAAGGGTATGTGATGTAGCCACTACGATAATCATGAAAATGGTATGTGATGTAGTTATTGTGATAATCAGTAAAAGGTATGTGATGTAGTCACTGTGATAATCATGAAAAGGGTATGTGATGTAGTTATTGTGATAATCAGTAAAAGGGTATGTGATGTAGCCACTACGATAATCATGAAAATGGTATGTGATGTAGTTATTGTGATAATCAGTAAAAGGTATGTGATGTAGTCACTGTGATAATCATGAAAAGGGTATGTGATGTAGTTATTGTGATAATCAGTAAAAGGGTATGTGATGTAGTCACTGTGATAATCATGAAAAGGGTATGTGATGTAGTTATTGTGATAATCAGTAAAAGAGTATGTGATGTAGTCACCATGATAATCAGTAAAATGGTTTGTGATTTAGTTATTGTGATAATAAGTAAAAGGGTAGTGATTTAGTCACTGCAAAAATCATGAAACGGGTATGTGATGTAGTTATACCTAATCATAAAATTTTTAGTCCTTCAAGATTTAAAAAAAAAAGAAAAATAGGAGTTATACATACTGCACAGTCCGCTGATTTGCCTCCTAGTTGTCCCGTTGCAATTATACATTTGTCAGGATGTAATGCGATGCTACAAAAATAAATTGTAAATTAAAGCATATTTAAAAATATTAGTCCCGTGAAGGAACACAATAGGGCAATGTTTAATTACATACAATTGTATGTCCTATGTATTTCCAGTTCATTTACTAATGCCATTTAAACAATTTTCCTGCTAAGGAGTTTGGTTGATTATTTTTATTTCCATGTTATCCACGAAATAATATTGAATTTCAAAATTTAGAAACTTGATTTAAACATACATTATGCAAGAGCTAAATCTGTCTATTGCAGGTCTTTCTTTAGGCCTGAAATGTTATCTAAACTATTAATTAGACATTAATTAACTTATCCAGACCATAATCAACTCTAGATGGCATCGCTAGCCTGCGATCTTAAGTGGATTGTGAGCCGATTTACTGCATAACTTTCCTTCTCCATTAAACGATTAAATGGATATTCGAGACTATGCTGTTTATCGTACTGACTTTAGTAATGATGACCGAGGCTATGCAGAAATTACATTCGCTTAGTTCCTGGTTCATAGTGGATCAATTTGAATGAAATTTTCAGCAAATTGCCTTTACGTTATCTAGTTTTTAATTATTATAGTGAGAACCACCAACTCGTTATCAAATCTCCCATAATGTATCTTTAAGTTTAAGATCAATATTTTTGAGCATGCTTTACCAATAAAAAAAAAAGTATTGAAGTAAAAACAAATATTTTTGTAACTTTTCTCTCTAAAACAAATTCTTACTAAAACATAAAAAAAGGGTTATCAAAATTATTTTACTGCTTTTTTGAATTTTAACAATACATAGCTATTTATCTAATAAATAAATAATATCATCTTTCCTGAAGACAAAAATAGCATCTCTCAAACAAAGGACATTTAACAAAGGAATATACAAAATTTCTGGATACATTTTATTAAAACAAATAAGACTGTACCTGGAACGGAATTGTTCATTGCATGAAACTTCTTTTTGTTTTATAAAAATATATCATAGTGTGGCTCTATATTGATTTGATGGTAAGGTGAATAATATTGAAGGGAGACAACTACCGGTTTAGACACTTTTTATAAATGACAATTATTAACCTGCATTGTCTTTAAACAAGGGCATTTTTTGGATGGGGTAGATATTGTTCTATTACCCTATATGAGACAAATTACATGACTTAATTAAACTCAACTAAGATAAATAAAACCCTGCATCCCACTTAAAAAATCAATTCAAGTATAAATATTTGGGGCTTTTTCCATTCCAAAAAATTTGCTTGGTGGGTGGTGTCTTGGCACATAAAATTCTAGGAAATGATTGAAAAATATTGTAGATTTTGAAAAATAAAAACTAATTAGGAGTTTGGCCAGTATTCAAAGAGACAAAATATCCAGACAAAATGTGAAATTCATGACTGACTAATACGGAAAACCCTGTCAGGAGGCAGCATAACACTAAAATAATTGAATGGGTTTATCAAGAAGCTTATACAAAACTTACCATGTGACCTCCTCGTTATGACCGAGGTAATGACGTTGTGTGTCGTCTTTTCTGTTGTAGATGACGACAACAGCTCCAACATAATACACTATTTCACCTGTCTTTAATACTATTAGATTATCTCTAACGTCACGACCCCGAAAACCATATCTGAGTTATGTTAAGGATCAAAATATGAAAATAATTTCCAAATTGGGAGATCCTTTACCAACTGAATCTCTGGCCACCAACAGGATTGAACTCAAGGCCTCCTGATTAGTGCGATAGTGTCATACTCACCTCGTCACTTGTTTTCAAAATTAATAGTATTTTTTTCTTCTTGTAAAGAACATTTCTTATCACAAATTACATATCAATTGTTGTGATATCATTTCGATTGACCAGTTATCACTCTCACTAGGAATAATATAACCAATTCGGTTTGAAAATATCATATTAACAACTTAAGAATAATATATTGTTAACTCATTGAAAATAACTCCCATCTTCATTAGCTTGCCCGGTGCATAAAAGTAAGATGTTAAACCCCATTTTATTTCATTTTGAAAAACAACTGAAATTTTTACGGCTAAAACTAGCATATCGCAGGAGATTTTGTAATCAAATTACATCATATCAAACTGGCAACAGACCTCAAATTACTTAGCAATGTAAACTGTAAAACATATACCCAACACATTACCCTTTATTCAATGATTTCTTTCTCTCCAAATTTCATAAAAACTACTGTTTATTAAGGATACACCCAATCTAGTGTCAGATTCATGTTAGGTTCTTTACCATCGTCATCAGGATCGGGTACAGATGGTGCATGAAACTCTGTAAAATAAATATATAGAACTAAAACAACCAAGCTTGCATGGTAAACATAATGCTAATAGATAAATATTTATGACAGGTAGCCTAATACAAAGTAGTTCCATTTTTTCAGTCCACTGAGGGAACAGTACGGTGGCCCATATACGACTTTTAAATATTTTTTAGTTTTGGGTTTTGTTTTTTAGTTTTAGGTTTGTTTTTCAGTTCTCACCTAGGTGAAAACGTTTTCACCTAGGTGATAACTTATCACCTCGGTGATAACCTTTTCACCTCGGTGGAAACGTTTTCACCTAGGTGATAAGTTATCACCTCGGTGAAAACCTTTTCACCTCGGTGGAAACGTTTTCACCTAGGTGATAACTTATCACCTCGGTGGAAACATTTTCACCTAGGTGGAAATGTTTACACCTAGGTGGAAATGTTTACACCTAGGTGAAAACCTTTTCACCTCGGTGGGAACTCACGTGTTACTAATAGGTCTCGTTTTCATGTGTACAAACAGGGCGGTTCCAAAGAAGAGCGCAAATTAACTACACAAAAGTGACCACGGGTATGACTACATTCGGAAAAACAAGAAAAGTATATCATTCAGCAAAAGTGACGGATCCTGCCTGAAAACAAAATATATTTGGAATTAAAAAATACATAAAACAATTTGATTGATTAATGTTTTATGCGCTCAATATTATTTCGCTTATATGGCGATGTTGCCAGGATTATTGGGGTTGGGAGGTGTTAACCGGGATCGATGCCCGAAGGAAGCCCCCGACCTCACCTCAAGTTGGTTCCTGGCGACCATCCCACCTAAGGCCGGTCGAGAATATTCCGGTCGACAAATTTTGGTACTTTCCCTAGTGTTGGATCTTGCGCCCTCCTAAATTAAAGGAAGTATATATCTTGGGTTGTAGCGGAGGCCCCAACTGAAGCATACTTTATTTTAGCTTATATATGTTCACTTTAAATATAAAGTATGCTTCATACGAAAGACGATAATATCTACTTCAAATTGTTTTTGTTTTCCGATATATAAGCCTACCCTTACATGTTATGTTGCGACGTCACCCTTTTGACGATCATGACCCCATGTGGAAACAGAGGCGGATCCAATGGGGGGCGCAAGGGGCGCACCCCCCTAATTTTCGACAGTGCCCTTTTTTACTGCTGAAAGTGACTGTTCTCAGACCCAAATATGTCCGTTCCCAACCCGTTGCAGGGATCCCAAATGACTCAAACCATCGACTCAAACACACCAGTTTGGTCTAATTAGTGCTTCCACTTCCAAACGAATTCTTGTTGTTCAGCTGACGTTACCCTAATCCTTTAGGGTGACTATAGACAGACATCAATGATAGCATCTTGTGGAATCGGCGGCATATACACTCATGCCCATCACTGACGCGCATGAGTGCAACTTGATGTAGCATTGTTCCATGTGTGGACAGTAGGCCTACACAGTACAAGTTACAAGGCTTAAAAAGTGAAGTGGCTAGGGAACAGATTCGTCTTTTTTCCCCATAATGCCTCGCTCGCCTTGACAATTTTCGAGTCGCATGTTCAACTGGCTTTTTTGCTCGATTTTAAGACTCTTTTTCAACGATTTCCGAACGTTTACTTATTGCTACAGATGCAGGAAAATGACGGATAATTTCGGCGTGCCCCGTCTCCGCGGTCAGTGCCCTCATTTTGCGGCGCCCCCCCCCCCTTTTCAAAATTCCTAGATCCGCCCCAGTGGAAACATCGGAACAAATACAATTTTAGGTAGATATCGTCTTTCGTATGAAGCATACAAGCTAAAATAAAGTATGCTTCAGTTGAAAGACGCCACATAAGCTTCAGTCAATCAATCGATTAACATGACTTTATATTTAAATATATTTATCCTGATGGTATCTTTTGTTTTCGGGCAGGATCCGTAACTTTTGCTGAATGACATACTTTTCTTGTTTTTCAAAATGTAGTCATACTCGTCACTTTCTGTGTAGTTAATTTGCGCTCTTCTTTGGTCCCGCCCTGTTTGTACACATGAAAACGAGACCTATTAGTAACACGTGAGTTCCCACCGAGGTGAAAAGGTTTTCACCTAGGTGAAAACGTTTCCGAGGTGATAAGTTATCACCTAGGTGAAAACGTTTCCACCGAGGTGATAAGTTATCACCTAGGTGAAAACGTTTCCACCGAGGTGAAAAGGTTATCACCGAGGTGATAAGTTATCACCTAGGTGAAAACGTTTCCACCGAGGTGAAAACTAAAAAAACAAACCTATAACTAAAAAACAAAACCCAAAACTAAAAAATATTTAAAAGTCGTATATGGGCCACCGTAGAACAGTACCTTATGTTAAATATTGTGTGCTTGTCTTGTTTTATTTCTCCGAAAGAACATAACCACTACAAATTTTCTTCAACCTCATGAAAAACAATAAACGCCTTTGGTCAGCGTTTTGTATATTTAGGTTTTTCGATCTTCTGGTATTCCTGATATATCTTAAATATTTTTAAAAGACGAATTTTACATCAAAGGATTGTGCAATATTCTGACATTGCGCACACATCCGTGACAAGATTTCTGCTCATTTAGATGCATATTGGATAACAGTGGAGTGAGGCCAAAACGGCGGCAATGCTTCGCACGTTTGTTTGTTCGACGTATGTTGGATGAAATGAAAAAAAAATATGCCCAGCGCGAGCTAGTATCAGAAGAACACTGAACTACGTAAACAATTCGTAGTTGACAATTTAATATTCATTTAACAGATAAAAGCCCTCATCAACTTCGAAGTATTGTGACCGATCATTATCGATAAAGCGTTCTGTCATATTCCGTATTTTAATGTTATCGGTAGGTAGAACCAACCATCGTATATTGAAATAGAAACTAACAAGAATTATATCACCCGGGAACAAATTTTGATAACTTTCGTTACTTATGGATCTTGCCAATTGCAAATTGTCTCATTTGCTGAGCCAGCGTCAACGTTATACGACTTAATGGCTGGCAGTTACACTGTTAAAAATGGGTGTAATTAAAAACTACAAGCAGTGTTAATTAAGTGTAAACTTTACACCACAGCAAGCTTTGTTTAAATGTAATACCTTTCCAAGGGTAACCGACTAAAAGAACTACACCTAACAAGTGTAACCGATATTCATGACTACTGAACACCTGAATAGGTGTAATTGTGGCGTGTTTTGGATAAGCTACACCACTACATCTGTTATACTCCATTTACACCAAAGGGTGTAACTATTATTGGGGAATAAATCATAGAACAGCGTTAATTTTACAGCGTTTATTGGGTTGCAAAAGTGTAATCGATATTCTTGAGTACTGAACACCAGGATAGGTGTAATTGTAGCCGCTAATGGGTGTTTGCGTTGAGCTATCCCTATACAAGCGTTACATTGCATTTACACCAACAGGTGTAATTATTTTAGGGAAACATTCCTACGAATAAGATGCGTTACAAAAGTATTTGTGTACTCCAATTTAAATGGTTTTTTTTTTTTGTAAAATATGGCTTTAATTGCACTAGTAACACAACTATAACTCATTTTTGAGTGTTTACTCATAACGAGTAAAGTATAGATTATTTTAGCTTGTATACACTTAAAGACGTGTAAATGTTCCAAAATATTACCAAGTACAAAATCTTAATTAATAATTCTTGATTCAGGTGAGGTGCATAAATAAATAAACCACATTATTCAGCCAAGATGTAAGGATACATATTTAGTTCAAGCCAACGACTTCTAAGTTCAGAAAACTTGAAATTGGCTATCGGTCTCCATTGGATATGTGCATTGATTTTTCCTCATGATTTATATTCATTGTAATTTGATGCAGATTGTCTAATTGCCCAACAGCAGTTGAATTTGAATCAGTCTGATGGGTATTTGTCAATTTAATATCATTGTAAAATGAAACACAATAGCCGACGGTCTATATTTAATCTGGATCTGGCTAAACGCCCTATGCTAATTATCATGGAGACCGATAGCCAATTTAAAGTTTTCTGAACTTAGAAGTCGTTGACTTGAAATAAATATCCAACAAAAGAAATTACACCCGTGTTGGTGTAATAATTAAAATGGAAGTGTAATTTACAAACCATCCTTGAGGGGATAATGCTTAATCTACACCCACGGGTGTAAACTATTTATATGTAACATTACACTATCTGAGTGCATCAGGCAGGTTACACTACTGGAAGTGGCAACTAGTTTACATCTGAATTGGTGTAATGTTCTATACTAGTTGGGTGTTATCGGTTTACACCACTAAAGGCTAGGAGTTACCCCTATTTAGGTGGCAACAACTAGTACCCGAATTGGTGTAAACTTCCTTATTATTTTGAACTGTGTAGGTGGACAAAGTTTCTACGTAAAATCTCCACTAGTATCAACCTAACTGCCAGCCATTTAATTGTATAATTTACAGGAACTGAATTTCGGTGTGGAGAGGTTCTCCACCAGAAAAAAAGTTGCTTTTGAATCCGTTTTTCTGGGGCTACCATTTCCCATTGCCAATGTATATTTTGGCATTGCCATTAACATTGTTCACGACCCCCGAAAGGCTTTCTGGGGAACAAATATTTATCAATCTAATAGACAATAAAAGTATAAAGCCTTTCCTGAAAAATAAAACAAATATACAAATATTAACGTAAGCCACAACGAAAATATAACCTAATAGAGGACGAATAATGAATTTACCCCTTGCTTTGCCCTTAACTGGGATTCTCGTCGTATCTGTCCATCTTTTCTCTTTAAAGGATCCCTTTTTTCGTGAACCATCTACACCGTTTGATGCAGCTGTAAAATTGTTCTGTGATGTATTGGTTCTTCTCTCCAGGGTAGGTGTCCTTCCCCCGTCTATTAACACAACCAAGCAAACAGATTAGACATAACATTGGTCTTTGTTGGTTCAAGATATTAACTTTGAAATCGACAATCTGGAATCGTTGCTATTTATTTCAAAAATACTATTTACTCCATAGTCAGTAATCTCGACTATCTAGATATTACTGTTATCATTGGTACATCACTGTATGATAAATAATATCTTTTGTTTGGAATATGCATGAAAATATACAAAAGATATGTTTTGTCTGATTATTGTCAACTTTTGTCGCCAAATAGCAAATTGTATGCCCCAGTCAGTTGTTACATATCAATATCTCTAAGTCTTTAACAAAAGTCATATTTTAATCTTGTTCATTTTCATGTTATATATCCTATTTAGCATATCTAAAGAAACAAACTATAGTTTTCATGTCTAAGCATTCGTTCGGCATGCATGATTTCTTGGATTTGCTGTGACTAATTTTCGTATATATAATAACTATATTTATATACCTGCATGCTGTATCTACTCATGTATTTATGTTTGGTTCGGGAGATACGGTGGCTAGTTAACCAGGAAATCCCCAGGTCAATCCCGATGTCGGCCGAGAACCTTCATCCGAAATTTCCAGAGACAGGGGGCATGGTGTAATACTATAGGGGTTATTTTAGTTCTATGAAAGGTGCTCTGTTTAATATACTCAGCCAAATTAAAAACTTGACACTGATGAATTTCAACAATTTTTTTTTCTGGTAAGTCAAATAAATTTTAAAGTGTTTCTAACGATAGTAAGTAGTAAGAAGCCTTTAGTTTCATAAAATTGTAAAGTCACGTGGATCATGTGACTTTTGAGCATATAAAGATGAAAAACCTGAAAAACACGTGCAAACACAAACTCGTGAGGTCAATCGATGCAAGTTTGCTTAAACTGAACACGCGCACGTAACTTGAACTGGAAAAACAAATTAAAATTGTTATTTTCATCTTTGTTAGAAAATGCCGCGCCTTTCAAATGTAGGACGTCTACGTGCTATAGGTAGGCTCTATGCTGGTCAGTCTGTAGTCACTGTTGCAAGAGCCTTTAATTGTTCACGCCAGACAATAATTAATCTTAGAATGAGAGTGCTTCAAACTGGAAATATTGCCGACCGCCCAAGGGCGGGAGCGCCACGTGTGACGTCACTCCAGGAATATCAAGCAATACGATTACGTCATCTTAGAAACAGATTTGTCACTGCAACCTCCACAAGTAGAGAGATGTTTGGTGGAAGGGTAACTGCACAAACTGTTCGAAATCGCTTGCAGGCTGCTGGTCTTCGAGCTCGGAGGCCCTATAATGGACCAATATTGACACCACTTCATCGCCGTAACCGACTTGTGTGGGCCACAAGACACATAAGATTGCCGACCGCCCAAGGGCGGGAGCGCCACGTGTGACGTCACTCCAGGAAGATCAAGCAATACGATTACGTCATCTTAGAAACAGATTTGTCACTGCAACCTCCACAAGTAGAGAGATGTTTGGTGGAAGGGTAACTGCACAAACTGTTCGAAATCGCTTGCAGGCTGCTGGTCTTCGAGTTCGGAGGCCCTATAATGGACCAATATTGACACCTCTTCATCGCCGTAACCGACTTGTGTGGGCCACAAGACACATAAGATTTACTCAAAGACAATGGAATTCGGTTGTCTTTAGTGACGAATCTCGATTCACTTTGAGATTTGCCGATGGCAGGGCCCGAGTGTACCACAGATGAGGTGAACGTTACGCTCAAGTATGCGTCAGAGAAGTTGACCGATTTGGTGGCGGCAGCGTCATGGTTTGGGTTTTTGTGCACATGGACGTTCTCCTCTTGCTGTTGTCCAAGGGAACTTAAATGCTGTCCAGTACAGGGATCAGATTTGTCAACCTGTTCTTCTTCCGTTTATGCAGAGACATGGGCCTGGACTAACGTTTCAACAAGGCAATGCTCGACCCCATACAGCAATTGCTACCCATAATTTTTAAGAAATGCCGGTGTCCAAGTCCTGGATTGGCCGTCACTTAGCCCCGACCTTAATCCTATTGAACACATCTGGGACGAACTGGGTCGACGTGTTCGTCAGCAAGTGAATCCACCACTGACGTTGCAGGACCTTCAACATGCTCTTGCTGAGCAGTTGCGACGTCTTCCTCAGGTAGTGTTTACTAATGTTCTGAGATCCACGAGAAGACGTTGTGTGACAGCACGAGACGCTAGAGGAGGTCACAACCGTTACTAAACACTTTATTCCGATTGTTCTCCAAGATTGTGAATTTCATTTTGGGGGGTACTGTGACATCACGAACGTTATCAATGTCAAGGACTTTCGGCGAGACGTATTCTTGCTTTCTGTTGATGTCAAGGTCGGCTGTGCACAACATAACACTAAAATAGTTGCCTTAAACCAAATATTAAAAATCTAGTCCCATAAATCCCGAGTGTCAAGTTTTTAATTTGGCTGAGTATATATTGAAGTGGTTAAACGAATAGGTGACAACGAGAAGTAGGTATTGTGCAAGATCCAGCTATCTTAGACTAACTCGCAGACAGTTCCTGAAAGTAGGGTACTATCGCCCAGTCAGCTCGTGCACAGATTAGTCCAATTAAATAGAATAATGTTGACGTAAAACGATGCCTATACTACGAAACACTTAACCCAAAATTGTTATTGTCCAGCCCTAATAGCTGACGCATCTATACTTTCTATATAAGAGACAGCGGGGTTAAATTTCCCTTCAGACATCATTCGGAGTTCCTAGAGGAACACCATACCCACAGCCTCTTCGGCTTAGAGGCTAGGGTGAAGACATCATTTAGAGATCCTAGGAGAGACATCGTTTGGGGTTCCTTAGTGGAACATCATACCCACAATGGCAAGGAAAGGCGTCTAATCGTTCGCATGGTTAAGAAAACCGCATAGGTTCCGTATATAATACCGGGTAGCATGTTTAAGATAACATGCTATTTGAAAATCAAAATAAGAGTATATCCTAGAGCCGGTCCTTACTTATCACAGTATCACAGCCAAACGCGTATCCAAAAATGATTACATTTGCATAAATAATTTATTAATGTAGATATTTCAAAACAAATACTCAATAGTGAAAAAATTAAGACGTTAAACCCCATTTCATTTAATGGGGTTTTTTTGGGGGTTTTTTTGCATCCCTATTACCGCGAAGGTACCGATCTCTTCATTAGCATTACTGTTAAAGTAGGCATACTCAAAGAGCGACTAATTCCAGACTTTCATCATGCATCCACGAAGGGGTGTGGGTTTCGGCTTTTTATAGACCGACTATGTGTCTATTTTTCATGCACAATCTGTAATGTGGCATACTTTTGTGTTTAATAAATTGACTTACTCATTATACATGGAAACCTTCTTTTTCCTGTTGTACAGTATAGCGAAATTAGCTATTATTGAACGCAAAATCTGGATTATTTTATGTGGAAAACAATCAAGATCAGAATTGCAGTTTGTAAAATCAGCATAGTATACTGTATAGGGCATGTATCTAGTTTCTAAACTTTATTAAAATAACTAAAATTCAAATTGTTTTGGTTTTTTTAAAAATACATACTTGTTTGTTTCTTTTTTCCATTTAAAGATTCGTTACTTGAATGCCTATTTGGTAATTGACCTTTCTTTGCCGTTTCCATTTCCATTGGTACCCCCTCCTGGCCCACGGCCAAAAATTCTGTGTGGTTACTCTTTACATATGATTTTAACGCCGAAAAACTTTCAATCTGTAAAAATGATTCAAGCCTTGTAAAATAGCATTTATTAGATTGATTATCTTGCCATGCACTCGAAACGCTTAAAAATATTACATCGAGAATAAAATTCATGTGGATTGAGCATAAATTCGGTTTTCGTTCCCCACGTTAAAGGGGCTAAATCTTTATTCTTTGGCACCTAGAAATTGACACAAATAGGTTGCAACATACGAATGTATATAAACTGATTTACATTCAATCGTTTCTGCTTTTACTGTAATTTCTAATAAGTTATGTTCGGCGATTCTGGGGCTCGATTCGTGAGCCAAGTTTAAAATTTCCATTGTCTTAAATATTGGATACCAGAAGACTATCTTTTCATGGTAAGATAACAATAACAATGTTGATTTAAATTGACCAATAAGTCGTGTTTGCAATGTGAAGACTTTAAGTTAGCGACTTAGCCCCTTTAAACGTGGGCTTATAAAAATAATATTCTGAATATACACACCTTTTCCATGGGTTTTGTCGATGTCCATAAACTCTGCAATGGAGGTTGCTCAATGGTAACCATTTGGGATATGTCTTCAAGCAAGTATTCAAAGTTTCTTTCTGAATGGGGATTGAGTAACATCTTGTATTTACTATCGCGTTTCAGATTGCCTATGATAGTAACAACCATGGGGGCTTTAGGAGCATTATTTGTCGTGGAGTCTGGTTTACTATCCGGACCTTTAAAAAGATGCAGATCATCGTGATTAAGTCGACTGTTCTGCCAATAATTCTCTCTGGATCTACCGTAGCTGACTGATTTATTCAATTTATTAACAGACGATACAATATACGCCTGGCCATTTTCTAGATCCAGTAAAGATTTGACCTCGTTGCCTTGTGGATAACTGAATATATATTTTACACCAGTAGGCGTGGGTATTGTCTCGCTCAGTTCAACCAATAATTTTTCATAATTATGGAAATTCCTCTGATTAATAAGCACTTCTTTTCCTTTAAAGTTAGGGTCGCCATTTCTGAAGAAGATAACTCTCCTGCCTTTCTTGCCTAGACCGTTTTCTTGCTGGTCTTTCGCACCATCTCCTGCTTGTTTGTCTTTCTGACGCAATTCCTCATATCTTCGTTCGTCATTCATTGGTGCTTCAGACGTCGAGTAAATAACTTCACCGCCGTCAAAGCCTCTTTCGTCGTCTTCGTCGTCGCTCAAAATCTGAGATGAACCATTCTAAAAATTAAAAAAAAAATAGTGACGTAAAAACATGAACTACCATTACCCTCAACTTGGCTCAAGTAATACAGAATCTGTTAATTCACTACAATAAAAATATGCAGATGGCGACTTCGCCATAACCTTGGTGACAGCATAACAAATATGTAAACCCAACCGAGCATAACTTTATCGTGAATGTAGCAAAGATAAAAAAATGATGATTTTTCCTCGGTTTTGAAAGCTTATAACAAGTTAATTCACGCGAAGAGTTCAATGTATTAACTTATAAATAATAAGCAGTTCGTCAATAGTTGTTGTTCGTCACGAGAAAAGTTGAAAATGAAAATCAATAATACATGTACATTATCCTATGTTAAATTCATATATAATTATCAATTCCACAAACAAACCTTTAAGTTGTCCCCATGGTATAGTCGCAAGTGTAAAGGTTTTTAAGAAGGCTTTATGGGAATTTTTTCATCCGAGAGAATTATAAAAAGACCAATCCTTGCAAATCTATCAACGGTTTCAATAAATTATAGATATAAAACATGAAACAAATCCCACTTGAACTTTCTTTTGTTAGAAAAAAAACCACCCACTTTTAAATCAGTTATCTTACTATTTCGCAACACTCGATCCTCAACAAGCCGGCCTTATACATCTTTTGTACATTGTTACAAAAGAAAATATGTCCTTTAAAACATCTTAATAACCAATACACATTCCCAAACATCTAAAAGAATGGATTATCATTATATAAAGATTGATTATTGATCGACTATGAACCGAGATTTTAGCGATTGAATTTTCGGCCTAGCCTCGATCATCATTACTAAAGTCGGTAGGATAAAAAACACAGTCTCGATTATCCATTTCGTGATTTAATTATGAATGGAGGTCGAACAGCAAATCGGAACCTAATCCAATAAACATTGCAGACTAGCGATGCCATCGAGAGTTGATTATGGCCTTGATAAGTTAATTGATGTCTAATTAATAATTTAGATAACATTTCAGGCTTAAAGAAAGACCTGTAATAGGCAGGTTTAGCTCTTGCATAATGTATGTTTAAAAGAATCTATAATATAACATTTGAAATGAAATGAAATGGGGTTTAACGTCCTACTGTTCTGCTCCTGTACCGGGCTATTGGAGACGGGCATACGCCATATAGTGCGCTATGAGGGAATTTTGCCCGGGCAGAGGCACTATGGCCTACTCTTACATCGAATGCAGACTGCCAATGCATCTTTTTCGTGCACGCCAATGTATACACAGGACCTCGGTTTTTCGTCACATCCGAACGACTAGACAACTGTCCACCGTGGCTCCCAATATAACATTTAATATAGCTTTTAATTCAAGGACAAAAAAATTGAATTATTTAAAGAAATTTATCAAAATTTTTAATTAACTTTAGGCGCCTCTTCTAAAATAACATATCAAGTACAACCGATCTTTAGCAGTTGTTTATCAACAAAATCCTATGGACGAATAGACTAAGCTATATCATTCATTTTCTTCTTTCTAACTGAAAATACAGTATTTACTATTATGAACGACTGGACAAAGTAATATTATTATCATTCTTCTTTCTAATAATCTTTTAATGAACACTGAATATATAACATGTATGTATGCTTGATGTAATGGCCAGTAGATCGATTAATGAATGATTATTTGTTAAAGCGTTATGTATGGAATAACACAAAATTAGTCTTCATAGAAATATTTACCCTATTGAACTTATTGCTGGCATCGGCACATGTATTGTATTCGTTTAGGTAATAAGTCTGTGCTGATTTATTTCTGTTGTTTATAATTGTCATATTTTGTTCAGGTTATCAATAACACGAAACATGCATTAAATTAACAAAGTACATTTAGTTAATATTAGATGGAGAAAAATATTCTTTATATTGATTTCTAAATTAATTAAAGTATGTCCTGTCTGGTTATAGTATAAATCGGGGGACGTGGAGAGGAGGAAGGGGATCTCCGATTGGCAATTCAACTTCCCTTTCACCTTGTTTAGGTCTCTAAAAGTTTCAACCTAATTAATTCAGAAGGCTATAAACATTTCCCTTATTTAAACTTAACAAAACAAAAGAGAGAGAGAGAGAGAGAGAGAGAGAGAGAGAGAGAGAGCTGACAAGTGTTCTTTGGATAGTAAATTTGACGATTAAAACGGAAACCGAAGTTCAGATGGCCTTGATGTTTATGGATAGAAATGAACCACCTTTCGCACGTCCACTAGCATGCATTTGAAAAATAGAATGTAATATGGTGGCCATAACTTAAATTAAGATTGATGAATGTTTAATAATATATGGCACAATACGCTTTTTGGTAAGACTACATTTAACTGAAAGTATATTAGTCTGAAATGTTGGGGCATTGTTATGTGTATTAAAAGTACAAACATGACTCGTGGCGAGTGGTGTAGAATTAACGATCTATGAAATCAATGCATTACAAAATATTCGATCTTTAAATTTCATAATTTATTCATAATATCGATTCGATGCAAAATTTGAAGTATTGAAAACGCTATTTCATTCAATGCTATTTCAAAGTTGAAATCCATATTTTTAAATTCATTTTGTCATGTATCTATGAATGAAACATCAGTCCTGACATATTTGAAGCATTTTAATTCGTATGATTACTGGATGAACGCTAATATCTCCTGATTTGAAAACAATTTTGGAAGCCACACTACATGTAAATTAAATATAGATCGTGTTCTTGATTTCACTGACAGTCCCATAACTAGAATTTGAAAGGATGGAAACCCGACTAGCGACATCCTCGGTATCCCCAGTGGCATCGTTCCATTCTACTCCACTAATCCCTGGGTACATTCACGGGGGATACACTTAGTCAGATTATCCGTCCTTGATAATTGTGCTATTTTTATCGGCTAATGAAAATTTTTTCGAGTGGGCGAAAGTTAGTAAGTCGCATTTTAGCATCGTTTTGTGTGCATTTCACTTATTAGACATTATTTTTTTATTTTTATTTATTTATTTTTTTTTTTTTTTGCAACCCTTCTGGTTATCGAGCGTACAAACAATGACGCTAAGACTGGTATGTGAACTGTTTTTGATTGGTTCGTCGAATCAACCTATGTGGCCAATGAAATCAAGCGGGGGATATATCTTTTGAATTCGTGAAAACAACATGAATGGACCCAGGGGTTAGTCGAGTAGCACCGTACGATGATACCACTGGGGATACCGAGGATGGACTAGCAGTTAATTTCAGCACACAAAACAAATTCAAACCATTAGACTTTAAGCTTGGGGGCACCATATGGAAAGGTATCGAACATATTCTTTGAATTACGATAGTGTTTTAACAGCAGTACCTGTACTTTTCTAAAGTGGACCCAATTATCTGTCTTATCTCAAAGAAGCTAAACCTAATATTCAAAAATAAATACACGAATTATAATTAAATATTGTTGGATTTCAATCTTTCCGTGAAAATATGGGATCATAATATCCAATAAGAAACAGCTAACATTCTAAATATTAGTACTGCTTCGTGTACTCAATGGACATAATGGGTTCGAGCTCCTTTTGTAATCAACAACTAAAAGACAACGCGGAAGTAATTAAAAATGGCCGATTCCCAAACAACAAAATAATAATGAACTAAGCAAACACAAACCACTCCTGTTCAGCTTAGACTGTTAGCGTATTTAATGGAACATTTGATTAGCAATTACAATAATATTTTTTTAAAAGTCATTTTATATACTCATATTACAGTAATAATTAAGTGATTTTAGAAACATTTTCATCTATTTTAGTTTTCCAAAGAATAGGGATTATGCCCTTTAAAATAAAGAAACGGGAATACTTTAAACCAGTTAACAATTTTACTGTAACATATACCGGCACTTAAACCAACACAATAACCTCGTTAATAGTAATCGTAAAAAACGCTAAATGATTACATCTATGCGAAAAAAAAACCCGAAAGCTAAAATACAAACTCGCCGTCGAGCAATTACAAACAATTTTAGGCCAAACAATTTTAAATATATTTTAGTGGGCTTTATAGATATATTAATTTGGATTCTACCGTTTTTTTTTTTAATAACATTCAATTCAGCTCTAGTCCCGTTGAAAAGATTTTACAAAAATTAAGCAATGTTTTATATTGATTACCATCGTATTAATGTAACTTCAGATCAATAGCAGATCAATAGATTTACTAAAAACTTTTAGCTTGTCGTTGATAAAGATGGCATTAGTTACTTAAACTTATCTATAGATTCTACATACTATACAAGGTGGTACCTATATATATATTTAATGTTTAACTTGGACTTGAATTCATTAATACCATTATCACCTTTTTGTAATTCCATTGTATATCAGAACTTGGTCAGCTGGACTAAATTAGCATTGCAGGGCTATCGGTATGGTGTAAAACTTTCAAGGTCGTGTCATGGCGGTTATACCACCGTTCAGAGTAATGGTCTATACCTGTACCTGGTTGTGAGTGTCAAGACGAAATCTTGCACGACGTGCATAGGCCTTTAATTTACAGTTATTCCAAAGAATATAATTTTCCTGTTTTCTTTCTTTTTTTTTTACTTCCACGCATTTCCACGCAATAATAAAGGGGTGGAGGTGATTTCGGTCCAGATCCAGGTAGTTCAGCTTTCAAGCGTGTTTTCTCAGCCGTCCATGACAACAATTTACTTGATGATGGTGGCTAGAAACCATTGGGTAGTTCTGAAAGGAGTCGAACCTGTTGGTTTTAGTAATTTATTTTTGTGTAAGTTATATATGTATAATTGAACAGGATCATTCTCTTTCAAATGTAAATAGGACTATAATCTGGCCACTCGCATTATTTTTTTCAGATGTCGATATTTCCAGATCAGCTTTTCGTAGTAAGAAAAGAACTACATACAATCGAATAATAGAAGAATAATTTACGACATGCTCTAATCTTACTTGCCGCAATAGAATACAGTATCGCCGTATTATTCA